ACTCCTGTAGATACTCGGATACTCCTGTAGATACTCGGATACTCCTGTAGATACTCGGATACTCCTGTAGATACTCGGATACTCCTGTAGATACTGCTGTAGATACTTGGATACTCCTGTAGATACTTGGATACTCCTGTAGATACTCGGATACTCCTGTAGATACTGCTGTAGATACTCGGATACTCCTGTGGATACTGCTGTAGATACTCGGATACTCCTGTGGATACTCCTGTAGATACTGCTGTAGATACTTGGATACTCCTGTAGATACTCGGATACTCCTGTAGATACTCCTGTAGATACTCGGATACTCCTGTAGATACTCGGATACTCCTGTGGATACTCCTGTAGATACTCGGATACTCCTGTGGATACTCCTGTAGATACTCGGATACTCCTGTGGATACTCCTGTAGATACTCCTGTAGATACTCGGATACTCCTGTAGATACTCGGATACTCCTGTAGATACTCGGATACTCCTGTGGATACTCCTGTAGATACTCGGATACTCCTGTAGATACTCGGATACTCCTGTGGATACTCCTGTAGATACTCCTGTAGATACTCTGATACTCCTGTTGATACTCCTGTAGATACTCGGATACTCCTGTAGATACTAGATACTCCTGTAGATACTCGGATACTCCTGTAGATACTCGGATACTCCTGTAGATACTCGGATACTCCTGTAGATACTCGGATACTCCTGTAGATACTCCTGTAGATACTCGGATACTCCTGTAGATACTCCTGTAGATACTCGGATACTCCTGTGGATACTCCTGTAGATACTCCTGTAGACACTCGGATACTTCTGTATATACTCCTTTAGATACTCGGATACTCTTGTTTGTTAAACATACAAACCTCTTCTTTCTGTGAATCCAGAAAACTCTTTGGGACTCTATCAAAAACAAACCTGGGACGGGAAAGGTGTCCGGTCCGCGGGCGAGGAGGGCGGTGGCTTTGGGCTCCAAGATGGCCGCCAACAAGACGTTCCAAGTGTCGCAGAAGGCGCAGAGTAAACGGCAGAGTCGCAGCCCGCTGGCCACACTGAACCGTGGATCCCACAGAAGCTCCAGCGCCGCGGGGCGGGTTCTGGTTAATGCAAAAGAAAACCAGGACTTTCTGACTGTTCCTGAAAACAAAGATCTTTCTAAAGTTCTTAACAAAACGCTCTCGCCGATCGGAACTCCGGACAGACTGAAGAAACTGATGCCGAGGATCGATCCCGTGGACACCGCGCTCACCAGGTCGTCCCTCGGGCCGTCCCTCAGGTCTCCCACTCTGTCCATCACAGACGCTCTCGCGCTCATCGACTCGGACCTGAGCCCCATCCGCAGCTCGCCGCAAAGCAGCGACTTTTCAGATTCACTGGACTCAAAGAGCGGCAGATTCGGTGCGGCATCCGAGCCGCAGACCCCGCTGGCGGGCGAGCCGCAGATCCCGCTGGCGGGCGAGCCGCAGATCCCGCTGGCGGGCGAGCCGCAGACACCGATGTCGATCGAGCCACGGCTGACCTTCTGCGTGAGCGAGCCGCAGACTCTGCTGGCGATCGAGCCGCGGCTGACCTTCTGCGTGAGCAAGAATTCTGCTGCGCACAACGTCAAGATGTTCACGTCGACCACAGTGACCAAAGCCCGAGCGCCGGTCGCTGCCACCGCCACGAGCGGCAGGAAAATCAAGAGATCTCGACGGCGACTTTTGGAGCAGACTCTGGAGCTGAGCGACTGCAGCAGTCATTCTGACTCCCGCGCCGGGACGCCCTGTTTACCGGTGATAGATGCAGACGCCGGCTGCACACCGGGGGGCGGGTCCTCTTCTGTCAGACCTGGTCCAGAGCTCAGTGAAAGAGTCCACTATGAAACTATCTCAGATTCTACCAACGCTTCGTTAGCGGCAAATTCTTTTCTGTTCAGTTCAGGACTCGAAGGTCTCTGTGTCGCATCAGAGAACAGAGAAGAGCGCACACACGTTTCGTTTGCCTCATGTCCTGCGGCAGAAGTGTCACTCCGAGCCGCCGCCATGGCGCCCTCACAGCCTCCACCGTTGCAGCCGCCACTCTTCTTGGCGTCTTCGCCCGAGTCGTTCCCCGTTCACCTGCCCGCACAAGGCTGCAAGAGGAAGAGCCAGGAGTTTCTATCGGCCGACGCAGAGGCTGCAGGCGCAGAGCAGGGCGCGCAGGTGAAGAGGAGCAGAGCGGCGCCGCAGAAGAAGACGGCAGCGCCGCAGCAGCGCAGAGCAGCAGGTGTGTGGGCTTTGAAGAGACGGGAAACAGATAATGATCAGATTTATACAGCATTATTCACTCCATACTCACTGATGATAAACTACTACTGTAGCCACAGCTGCCCTGGGGCACACTGACACACACCGTGCCATTGGCAAGTTGGTTAGCACTGAGCTAGCGGGTTAGCACGATGTGGATGGGACGATCCTTGTTCAGCGACGGATAATAAAAGATGAAATATGTGTTTCTAACGTTTGTTTCAGCCTCTGTCTCCGCGGGGACGACGCTCAGGTCTGCTCCACAGACGGCTCTGAGCTCCAGACCCGCTGCACGCCGTGAGTTCAAACGGTTCCAGTGTCTCTGTTCTTTCACACCAGGATGATTGTGTTCAAGTCTGACTTGTGATGTCACAGGTGCTCCGTCTCTGAAGTCGGCTGCTCATAAATCCAGAGTGGTGGCGGTCGCTCAGTCCAAGCTCACCTTTTTCAAACCGACACAAACAGGTGATTTACAGAACTGTGTTTTTAAAATGTGTTGGAGCGTGCCCAGAGAGAGAGAGCGTGCCCAGAGAGAGAGAGAGCGTGCCCAGAGAGAGAGAGAGCGTGCCCAGAGAGAGAGAGAGCGTGTCCAGAAAGAGAGAGAGCGTGCCCAGAGAGAGAGAGAGCGTGTCCAGAGAGAGAGAGAGCGTGCCCAGAGAGAAGAGAGCGTGTCCAGAAGAGAGAGAGCGTCCCCAGAGAGAGTGAGAGCGTGCCCAGAGAGAGAGAGAGGCGTGTCAGAGAGAGAGAGAGCGTGCCCAGAGAGCGAGAGAGCGTGTCCAGAGAGAGAGAGAGCGTGCCCAGAGAGGAGAGCGTGTCCAGAGAGAGAGCTGCCCAGAAGAGAGCGGTCAAGAGAGAGAGAGAGCGTGTCCAAGAGAGAGAGAGCGTGTCCAGAGAGAGAGAGAGCGTCCATAGAGAGAGAGAGCGTGTCCAGAGAGAGAGAGAGCGTGTCCAGAGAGAGAGAGAGCCATGTCCAGAAGAGAGAGCGTGTCCAGGAGAGAGAGAGAGCGTGTCCAAGAGAGAGAGAGCGTGACCAGGAGAGAGTGAGAGGCAGTGTCCTGAGAGAGAGAGAGGCGTGTCCAGAGAGAGAGAGAGCGAGTGGCAAGAGAGAGAGAGAGCGCGTCCAAGAGAGAGAGAGCGTGTCCAGAGAAGAGAGAGAGCGTGTCCAGAGAGAGAGAGAGCGTGTCCAGAGAGAGAGAGAGCGTGTCCAAGAGAGAGAGAGCGTGGCCAGAGAGAGAGAGAGCGGTCCAGAGAGAGAGAGAGCGTGGCCCAGAGAGAGAGCGTGTCCAGAGAGAGAGAAGCGTGTCCAGGGAAAAAGAATAAAAGAAAAGGGAGAGAGAGCGTGTCCAGGAGAGAGAGAGCGTTCCCAGGAGAGAGAGAGAGCGGGTCCTTAGAGAAGAGAGAGCGTGTCCAGAGAGAGAGAGAGCGTGTCCAGAGAGAGAGAGAGCGTGTCCAAGAGAGAGAGAGCGTGTCCAAGAGAGAGAGAGCGTGTCCAGAGAGAGGAGAGAGCGGGTCCAGAGAGAGTGAGACGTTCCAGAGAGAGAGAGAGCGGTCAGAGAGAGAGAGAGAGCGTGTCCAAGAGAGAGCGTGTCCAGAGAGAGAGAGAGCGTGGGTCCAGAGAGAGAGAGAGCGTGTCCAGAGAGAAGCAGTGTCCAGAGAGAGAGCCGTGTCCAGAGAGAGAGAGAGCGGGTCCAAGAAGAGAGAGAGCGTGTCCAGAGAGAGAGAGAGCGTGTCCAAGAGAGAGAGAGCGTGTCCAGAGAGAGAGAGAGCGTGTCCAGAGAGAGAGAGAGCGTGCCAGAGAGGGAGAGAGCGTGGGCCAGAGAGAGAGCAGAGCGTGTCCAGAGAGAGAGAGAGCGTGTCCAAGAGAGTGAAGAGCGTTTCCAGAGAGAGGAGAGAGCGTGTCCAGAGAGAGAGAGAGCGGTCCAGAGAGAGAGAGAGCGGGTCCAGAGAGAGAGAGTGCGTGTCCCAGAGAGAGAGAGAGCGTGTCAGAGAGAGAGAGAGCGTGTCCAGAGAGAGAGAAGCGTGGTCCAGAAGAGAGAGAGCGTGTCCAGAGAGAGAGAGCGTCGGTCCAGAGAGAGAGAGAGCGTCCCAGAGAGAGAAGAGAGAGCGTGTCCCAGAGAGAGAGGAGCCGTGTCCAGAGAGAGAGAGAGCGGGTTGTCCAGAGAGAGAGAGAGCGTGTCCAAGAGAGAGAAGCGTGTCCAGGAGAGAGAGAGAGCGGTACAGAGAGAGAGAGGAGCGGGTCCAGAGAGAGAGAGACGTGTCCAGAGAGAGAGCGTGTCAGAGAGAGAGCGTGTCCAGAAGAGAGAGAGCGTCGTCCAGAGAGAGAGAGAGCGTGTCCAGAGAGAGAGAGAGCGTGTCCAGAGAGAGAGAAGCGTGTTCCAGAGAGAGAGAGAGCGTGTCCAGAGAGAGAGAGAGCGTGTCCAAGAGAGAGAGAGCGTGTCCAGAGAGAGAGAAGCGTGTCCAGAGACAGAGAGAGCGTGTCCAGAGAGAGAGAGCGTGTTCCATAGAGAGGAGAGAGCGTGTCCAAGAGAGAAGAGCGTGGTCCAGAGAGAGAGAAGCGTGTCCAGAGAGAGAGAGAGCGTGTCCAGAAGAAGAGAGAGCGTGTCCAAGAGAGAGAGAGCGTGTCCCAGAGAGAGAGAGAGCGTGCCCAGAGAGAGAGAGAGCGTGGTCCTAGAGAGAGAGAGAGCGTGTCCAGAGAGAGCGAGAGCGTGTCCAGAGAGAGAGAGAGCGGGTCCAGAGAGAGAGAGGAGCGTGACCAGAGAGAGAGAGAGCGTGGCCTGAGAGAGAGAGAGCGTGTCCAGAGAGAGAGAGAGCGTGTCCGAGAGAAGAGAGCGTGTCCAGAGAGAGAGAGAGCGTGTCCCAGAGAGAATAGAGAGCGTGTCCCATAGAGAGAGAGAGCGGTCCAGAGAGAGAGAGAACGTGTCCAGAGTGAGAGAGAGCGGGGTCCAGAGAGAGAGAGCGTGTCCCAGAGTGAGAGAGAGCGTGGGCCAGAGAGAGAAGAGAGCGTGTTCCAGAGAGAGAGAGAGCGTGTCCAGAAGAAGAGAGAGCGTGTCCAGGAAGAATAGAGAGAGCGTGTCCAGAGTGAGAAGAGAGGCGTGGTCCCAAGAGAGAGAGAGCCGGTCCAGAGAGAGAGAGACGTGCCAGAGAGAGAGAGAGCGTGTCCCAAGAGAGAGAGAGCTGTCCCAGAGAGAGAGAGAGCGTGTCCAGAGAGAGAGAGAGCGTGTCCAAGAGAGGAGAGAGCGTGTCCAGAGAGAGAGAGAGCGTGTCCAGAGAGAGAGAGAGCGGTCCAAGAGAGAGAGAGTAGCGTGTTCCAGAGAGAGAGGAGAGCGTGTCCCAGAGAGAGAGAGAGCGGTCAGAGAGAGAGAGAGCGTGTCCAGGAGAGAGAGAGAAGCGTGGCCAGAGAGAGAGAGAGCGTGTCCAGAGAGAGAGAGAGCGGGTCCAAGAAGAGAGAGGAGAGCGTGTCCGAGAAAGAGAGAGCGTGTCCATGAGAGAGAGAGCGTGTCCAAGAGAGAGAGAGGTGTCCAGAAGAGAGAGAGAGAGCGGGTCCAGAGAGAGAGAGAAGCGTGTCCAGAGAGAGAAGAGCGTGTCCTGAGAGAGAGAAAGCGTGTCAGAGAGAGAGCGTGTCCAGAGAGAGAGAGAGCGTGTCCAGAGAAGAGAGAGCGTGTCCAGATAGAGAGAGAGCTGTCCCCAAGAGAGAGTGAGCGTGTCCAGAGAGAGAGAGAGAGTGTCCAGAGAGAGAGAGAGCTGTCCCAGAGAGAAGAGAGCGTGTCCAGAGAAAGAGAGAGAGCGTGTCCAGAGAGAGAGAGAGCGTGTCCAAGAGAGAGAGAGCGTGTCCGAGAGAGAGAGAGCGGGCCAAGAGAGAGAGAGCGTGTCCAGAGAGATGAGAGAGCGTGTCCAGAGAGAGAGAGAGCGTGTCCAGAGAGAGAGAGAGCGTGTCCAGAGAGAGAGAGAGCGTGGTCCAAGAGAGAGAGAGCGTGTCCAGAGAGAAGAGAGAGCGGGTCCAAGAGTAGAGAGAGCGTGTCCAAGAGAGTGAGAGCGTGTCGAGAGAGCGTGTCCAGAGAGAGAGAGAGCGTTTTCCAGAAGAGGAGAGAGCGTGTCCAAGAGAGAGAGCGCGTGTCCAGAGAGAGAGGAGAGCGGGTCCAGAGAGGGAGAGCGTGCCCCTAGAAGGGAGAGCGTGCCAAGAGAAGAGACGCCCAAAGGAGAGAGCGTGGCCCAGAGAGAGAGAGAGCGTGTCCCAGAGAGAGAGAGAGCGTGTCCAGAGAGAGGAGAGCGTGTCCAGAGAGAGAGCGTGTCCAGAGAGAAGAGAGCGTGTCCAGAGAGAGAAGAGCGTGCCATGAGAGGGAGAGCGTGCCCAGATGAGGGAGAGCTGCCCAGAGAGGGAGAGCGGCCCAGAGAGAGCGTGCCCAGAGTGAGAGAGAGCGTGTCCAGCAGAGAGAGAGAGTGTGTCAGAGAAGAGAGCGAGCGTGTCCAGAGAGGGAAGCGTGCCCAGAGAGCGAGAGCGTGCCCTGAGAGAGAGAGCGTGCCCCAGAGAGGGAGAGCGTGCCCAGAGAGAGAGAGAGCGGCCCAGAGAGAGAGAGACGTGCCCAGAGAAGAGAGAGCGGTCCAAGAGTGAGAGACGTGTCCAGAGAGAGAGAGGCGTGTCCCAGAGAGAGAGAAGCGTGTCAGACGGGGAGAGAGAGAGCGTGTCCAAGAGAGAGAGAGCGTGTCCAGAGAGAGAGAGAGCGTGTCCCGAGAGAGAGAGAAGCGTGCCCAGAGAGGGAGAGCGTGCCCAGAGAGAGAGAGAGCGGTCCAGAGAGAGAGAGAGCGTGTCCAGAGAGAGAGAGAGCGTGTCCAAGAGAGAGAGAGCGTGCCCAGAGATGGAGAGCTGCCCAGAGAGAGAGAGAGCGTGGCCAGAGAGAGAGAGAGCGTGCCCAGAGAGGGGAGAGCGTGCCCAAGAGATGGAGAGCGAGCCAAGAGAAGAGAGCGTGCCCAGAGAGGGAGAGCGGCCCAGAGAGGGAAGCGTGACCAGAGAGAGAGAGCGTGCCCAGAGAGTGTGTAGAGTGTATTTATCGGTGGTTGTGTAGAGTGTATTTATCGTGGTTGTGTAAGTGTATTAGCGTGGATGTGTAGAGTGTATTTATCGGTGGTTGTGTAGAGTGTATTTATCGGTGGTTGTGTAGAGTGTATTTATCGGTGGTTGTGTAGATGTATTTATCGGTGGTTGTGTAGAGGTATTATCGGTGGTTGTGTAGAGTGTATTTATCGTGGTGAGAGAGTGATTATCGTGTGTGCTCTGTAAAAAAAAATTAAAAAAAAGAGAAAAAACAGCGATGCCCCGACACCCGATGTCCTCGCGGCTAAGATCATGTTTCTTTACGAGCGCCTGGATGGAGAAGTCAGGAGCGCGGCTTTCACCTGGTGATCAACGCCTGCTCACAGCCGGAGGCCTCAAGGTGCAGCCCCCGCCGCAAAGGTACTTACCCAGGGTCAAAGGTACGTGCCCAGGGTCAAAGGTAGTTGCCCAGGGTCAAAGGTACTTACCCAGGTCAAAGGTACTTACCCAGGGGTCAAAGGTACAGTGCCCAGGGTCAAAGGTACGGGCCCAGGGTCAAAGGTACGTTGCCCAGGGGACAAAGGTACTTACCCAGGGTCCAAGGTACTTACCAGGTGTCAAAGGTACGTTCCCAGGGGTCAAAGGTAACTGCCCAGGGTTCAAGAGGTACGGGCCCAGGGGTCAAAGGTACTTACCCAGGGTACAAAGGCACGTGCCCAGGTCAAAGGGTATCGGGCCCAGGGGTCAAGGTACGTGCCCAGGGTCAAAGGACGGGCCCAGGGGTCAAAGTGTTACGTTCCCAGGGGTCAAAAGTCCTGTGCCCCAGGGTCAAAGGTACTTACCCAAAGGAACTATAGAAGCCTTCAGAGAGAAGGGGGCGGGGCTTTTTGATTTTATAGAATCAAACCAAAAAAACATGTTCTGGTGTGTGTTCTCTTGTGGGTAACGTGTGTGTCACTTGTGTGTAACGTGTGTGGTTCCTCCTGGTTGTTTGTGATATGTGTGTGTGCTCCTGTGTCGTCTTCACTTGGGTGTAATGTGGTGTGTGCTCTCCTGTGTGCAGTGAGTGCAGCGGCCGTGGTGCTGGTGGTGGAGCAGGGCTTCTAACCGAGCGCCAACCCGTGAGGAGATGTCGTTCTCGCACGTACACGGCGCGCAGGCGCTGAACCTACTGCGGCGTGCGCCACTGCGACCTGGGTCTCCCCTCCAACGCTCTGGTCACAGCCATCCACCGACTGAGCTGGAGGGGGAGCACGGCGGGCTGCGGGTGCGGCCGACCGCCACCTGTGGAAGACATCGGTAACTGGTTCATATGGTGTTCCATAGGGTGCATATGGGCTTCACATGGTGTCCATATGGTGGTGGGTTCACTGAACGGTCCACTGTTTTCCAGGTGCACGACAGAAGGTCCCTGAACTGGCTCTGTCCTACAACCCACTGTGGCGACGGATCGGACTGGAGGTGAGACCAGAGAACCAGAGAGTCAAGAAGACCAAGAGACCAAAGAGACAGAGAGACCAGAGAGACCAGAGAGACCAGAGAGACCAGAGAGACCAGAAGAGACCAGAGAGACCAGAGACACAATGAAAAGTGTCCATTCAGGGCTGCGTGTCCTCCCTCTAATAAATTCACTCTCTCCGCCTGTCTCTCTCCCCTCCCCACCTGTCTCCCCCCTCCCTCCCCCACAGACTGTGTTTGGAGAGCTGATCTCTCCTGGAGTATAATGGTGACACCCTGGGCCTGGCCTGGTTTCATTCTGCAGCGTCTGCTCTGGAACCCGACATTGCTGCTGAGTTCAAGCACAATCTCAGTCCCTCATCTGTACAGAGACGGTGAGTCACGCGTGAGGCAGAGTGGGTTAGTCTTTGCATCAGTAATAAAGCCTGAGTTGTTGCTGTTCCGCCCCAGGCCATGAGAGGCCCGCTGTCTCGCTTCACTCTGAAGATGCGCTGCAGTTGGGGTGTTCCTGGACTGCGCCATAACCTCACGCCATCATTGAACCGACCCCCTGTCTCTTCTGTTTGGACGCAGAGTTTAAGGTTTGACACGCAGTGTAAACCACACGTTAGAGCGACACACTTCAGAGCGACACACTACAGAGCGGACACACCAAGCGACACACTTCAGAGCGACACACTCAAGCGACACACTCAGAGCGACACACTTCGAGCGACACTCTTCAGAGCGACACACTCAGGAGCGACACATCTTCAGAGCGACACACTCAGAAGCGACACACTCAGAGCCGACACACTTCAGAGCGACTACACTCATAAGCGACACACTCGGAGTATACAAAATCTTTGTGAGAATCTGTCATTATTTTGTGTGTGAGCATGAATGAGAAGGGCCCTCATTTGAAGTGTGCGATACTAATAAAAGCTCTTTTCTGCAGTCGAGTAAGAGCTGCTGCTGGCCTTCTCTCGGGACTTCCTGAGTGGGGAGGGCATCCTGCCCAGACCACCCTTGTCCCCCTCGGGCTCTCGTGTCCACGAACAGATGCCTCCTGGACGAGTTCTGTTGTCGCCGTGCAGAACTGGCGGTCCCGACCTCAAGTGCGGCGTGCGCCTCGTGGGAGTCTCACAGTCAGACGCAATGTTGGCGTTACTCAACCCATGTTAGCGTTACTCAGACACATGTTGGCGGTTCTCAGATCGCCATGTTGGCCGTTACTCAGCACGCCATGTTGGCGGACTCAGACCAATGTGGGCGTTTACTCAGACTCCATGTTGGCGTTACTCAGACGCCATGTTGCGTACTCAGACGCCATGTTGGCGTACTCAACCAACCATGTTAGCGTACTCAGACACCATGTTGGCGTTACTCCAGACGCCATGGGCGTTACTCAGACGCCTTGTTGGCGTTACTCAGACACCAGGTTGGCGTGACTCAGACGCCATTTGGCGTTACTCAGACGCCATGTTGGCGTTACTCAGTCGCCTGTTGGCGTTACTCCGACGCCCAATATTTGGTGTTTACTCGCTGCGTGGCGGCGCTGGTCGGGTTTCATTGGTCCTCACTCTCTCCCCTCAACGCGTGGTGGTAGCTGCTGGTCCTGGAACCTGGGAGTCGTTCTCAAAGCTCCGACTCCCGTCCATTTAGGCCGCTGCAGAGGTTCACAACGTGGACCTGAGTCTGCAGTCGGCTGAGTAAGAAAAGGCCTGGGACCTGAAGGACGACCAACGTGAGAACATGAATCACAACCACACAATTGGCACATCACAAAGACTGAATTATTCAAGCTCTTGCCCCTCTGGGCCCCTCTCTGGTCTTTCTCGCCCTGGCTCTCTAATTAAATCGCGTTTTAGTTCTGTGTTCGAGTCCCGGGACATCGTAGACGGACACAGAGAGAAAGACACTTGCACGCCCTCTGACAATCATCCTAGTGTTCTGCTGGTCCTCTCCTAGTCTCTCTCTGTCTCTCTCCTAGTGTTTCTGGTCCTCTCCTGTCTCGCTCCAAGTGTTCTGCTGTCCTCTGCTCCTCTCCTAGTGTTCTGCTGGTCCTCTCCTGTCTCTCTCTAGTGTTCGCTGGTCTCTTGTCTCTCTCCTAGTTCGGCTGGTCCTCCCTGTCTCACTCCTATGTTCTGCGGGTTCCACTGTCTTCTCTCCTAGTGTTCTGCTGGGCCTCTCCGGTCTCTCTCCTAGTGTTCCTGCTGGTCCTCTGTCCTCTCTCCTAGTGTTCTGCTGGTCCGCTCCTGGTTCTGCTGGTCCTCTCCTGTCTGTCTATGTTCTCTCCTAGTGTTCTGCTGGTCCTCTCCTGTCTCTCTCCTAGTGTTCTGCTGGTCCTCTCCTGTCTCTCTCCTAGTGTTCTGCTGGTCCTCTCCTGTCTCTCTCCTAGTGTTCTGCTGGTCCTCTCCTGTCTCTCTCCTAGTGTTCTGCTGGTCCTCTGTCTCTCTCCTAGTGTTCTGCTGGTCCTCTCCTGTCTCTCTCCTAGTGTTCTGCTGGTCCTCTCCTGTCTCTCTCCTAGTGTTCTGCTGGTCCTCTGTCTCTCTCCTAGTCTCTGGTCCTCTCCTGTCTCTCTCCTAGTGTTCTGCTGGTCCTCTCCTGTCTCTCTCCTAGTGTTCTGCTGGTCCTCTCCTGTCTCTCTCCTAGTGTTCTGCTGGTCCTCTCCTGTCTCTCTCCTAGTGTTCTGCTGGTCTCTCCTGGTTAAGTCCTGGTGTCTCCTCAGGTGGAGGTGGTGCTGGACGAGCTGCAGCTGAAGGAGGAGATCTGCTTCTTGAGGAGAACTCTGAAAACCAAACGGCGTCTGGAGGATCTGAGGACCGACCGCGGCCTCCAGCCCAGTCCCAGTCCAGGTCCAGAGAAAGACCATAGAGGCTTTGACCACAGCAGCCCCAAGATCCAGCTGCTCATGGCCTGGGCCAGGGCCGTGTGCAACTTCTACTCCGTCAAGGTGAAAGCATGTTCTCATCATCTGTAAGAAAGCAGTCTCTGCAGGACTCACTACACTTACATGATGTGCTGTTGTTATGGAGGAGCACTGAGCTCCATTAGGCCTTTAGATCAGGTAGACTTTATACATCTCCCACAGGAGAAAAGTACATGTCACATCTGGCCTGGATAGAAACAGATTGTTTGGGTCCTTTATGTTGGGAATAAAACCAGCTTCTGATGTCAGGATTTGAACCCAGGTGTTTTTCTGCCTCTGGTGAATGATAAAGTTTGATCTCTAACTAAAGCCTGAGGGAAACAATGAAAAAACGTCGACAAACATCTGTAATGGGACCTTTAACAGCGTCCTCCTGTGCCTGGGTGTGTCCAGGTGGAGAACTTGACGGTGTCCTTCTCAGACGGGCGCGTCTTGTGCTTCCTGATCCACCATTACCACCCCGGCCTGGTGCCCGCGGCCTCCATCTGCCTGAAGACCAGCCAGACCCAGGACCGGTCTGCCCGAGGGCGGCTGCAGCTGGACGGGGAGAGCTCCGACTCGGACACCTCCTTCACCTCCTTCACCTCCTCCACCTCCTCCACCTCCACCCCCTGCAGCTCCAGTGGTATTTATGTTTTATATCTTTGTGTGTGATTATGAGGGTCTGAGGAGACGATAGAAGCCGTTATTGTGAGATTCTTTATTCCCTGTTTATAACCTATAACTCTAAGACGTGCCGGCGCTAAGCTAACGCCCAGACGTGCCGGCGCTAAGCTAACGCCCAGACGTGCCGGCGCTAAGCTAACGCCCAGACGTGCCGGCGCTAAGCTAACGCCCAGACGTGCCGGCGCTAAGCTAACGCCAGACGTGCCGGCGCTAAGCTAACGCCCAGACGTGCCGGCGCTAAGCTAACGCCCAGACGTGCCGGCGCTAAGCTAACGCCCAGACGTGCCGGCGCTAAGCTAACGCCCAGACGTGCCCACCCTAAGCTAACGCCCAGACGTGCCCACCCTAAGCTAACGCCCAGACGTGCCCACCCTAAGCTAACGCCCAGACGTGCCCACCCTAAGCTAACGCCCAGACGTGTTCAGGTTCTTCGTTCAAAGAGCTGCTGGAGAACGAGAAGCAGAACTTCTGTTTGGTGAACAGCGCCGTGAGTTTCCTTGGAGGAGTTCCTGCGATGATCGACGCCACCGACATGTCCAACACCATCCCCAACGAGAAGGTCAGTCCCAACACCACCCCCAACTTCGGTGTGAGTGACTGTCTTCGGTGTAAGTGACTGTCTTCGGTGTGAGTGACTGTCTTCGGTGTGAGTGACTGTCTTCGGTGTGACTGTCTCCGGTGTGAGTGACTGTCTTCGGTGTGAGTGACTGTCTTCGGTGTGACTGTCTCCGGTGTGAGTGACTGTCTTCGGTGTGACTGTCTCCGGTGTGAGTAATGGTCTTCGGTGTGAGTGACGGTCTTCGGTGTGAGTGACGGTCTTCGGTGTGAGTGACGGCCTTCGGTGTGAGTAACGGGCTTCGGTGTGAGTGACGGTCTTCGGTGTGAGTGACGGTCTTCGGTGTGAGTGACGGCCTTCGGTGTGAGTGACGGTCTTCGGTGTGAGTGACGGTCTTCGGTGTGAGTGACGGCCTTCGGTGTGAGTGACGGGCTTCGGTGTGAGTGACGGGCTTCGGTGTGAGTGACGGTCTTCGGTGTGAGTGACGGTCTTCGGTGTGAGTGACGGCCTTCGGTGTGAGTGACGGTCTTCGGTGTGAGTGACGGTCTTCGGTGTGAGTGACGGTCTTCGGTGTGAGTGACGGCCTTCGGTGTGAGTGACGGTCTTCGGTGTGAGTGACGGTCTTCGGTGTGAGTAACGGTCTTCGGTGTGACTTCCAGGTGGTGACCTCCTTCCTGTCCTTCCTGTGCGCTCGGCTTCTGGACCTTCGTAACGAGACTCGTGCGGCGCGTGTGATCCAGGCGGCGTGGAGGAGGCACCAGCTGAGCAAAGACCTGCAGCGGTACCAGGTGTGTACTGGGGGGGGGTGGGGCTCTCTCAGCCAATCAGCTCTCAGCTTAGAGTCAGAAGTGATTCATGGGATCTCTCTCACAAACGATAAGAACTGAACAGAAAGAGTCTGAAAGTGTGAACTAAAGTTACAGACCTGGGGCCGTATTCCTAAAGATTCTGAGAGTCCTCTCAGAGAGCTCTTATCTTAACCTAAAAACTCCTAGCTAGGAGTCTTAGCTTAAAAGTTATTCCAGAACACTCTTAGAGAACTCTGAGCAAGGAATTGACAACAACTTTTATCTTAGTGAGGAGGCGTGGCCGACCCCGTTGCTAGGTATGAGTCATCATTTCAGACGCTGTGATTGGTTGATCCTAAAAGTTAGAACAAACATATTTTTGATGATAATAGGCAAAATAAGGGCCCTAAAATGGACAAACTCAATCATGGAATCTAATCTTAGGAACACTGTGTTATTGTAAATAATAACCAAAAGCTATAAAGTCAGATATATCAATGGTACATAAATACTGTGAATAGTAAAGTTAGACTTATACACCATCATCAGAGCTTGCTCAGCACCAATTTATCACACATAATATGTATATATCATGAGCACTTATAATTTTATATATATATATATATATATATATATATATATATATATATACAAAATTATAATTTAAATATTACTCTATATATAATATACATGATAAAGAAAATTATTATTATAAATATTATATGGATAAATGATGATAATGATAACGTTAGGATTAGTAAAGGCTGTGATATGTATAGACTTATAAGGAATTAAGGAAACAATATTAATATAAACATATTATACATACACTGTACAAATCAAGTACAAGGGAGCTTAAAAGTCTTATCCTCTCTCACTCCTTTTTGAGCTGGATTGTTGTTAATAAAACAAAACTGTATATTTGTACTTCTATTCTGTTGTTGTTTTGTTTGTTTTGTCCTTTTTTTTCTTGTTTGCCATGGCTCAAAATAAAGTATTCATTCATTCGTACTGAATGTGTGACAATTTAGGACCACTTTTTCCTCTCTTTCAACTTTTACCATTTCTACTTACTTTTGTGTAACAAAGGTAAAATGGATGAGGTGTTATTGCTGACCAGCCAATGAGAAGCTGGTCACATGATTGACTTTTAAATATACCACAAACATGATTCCGGCTTGAATCTGTAGCGTTTCACTGATTCACTGTCATCCAGTGTATAGAATATTTCTCCTGTCTCCACCGTCCACCATTTTGTGCTCTTAGGGAACTTTTAAGTCGCTAAAAGTCCTCCTCTCAACTCTTAAGGGATCTCCCCTTAAGAGCACTCTTAAGAGCTAGGATTTTTTAGGAATAGCTTTTATCTTAACTAGGAGCTACTCTACTTTTAGGGGAAATTCTAAGAGTTGGTCAAGATTCTAAGAAAATTCTTAGAATTTGGCTACTAGGAGCAACTTTTAGCAGTAAGAATCTTTAGGAATACGGCCCCTGAGCTTTAAACATGTGTTATTCAGACTAAAGTTACAGACCTGAGCTTTAAACATGTGTTATTCAGACTAAAGTTACAGACCTGAGCTTTAAACATGTGTTATTCAGACTAAAGTTACAGACCTGAGCTTTAAACATGTGTTATTCAGACTAAAGTTACAGACCTGAGCTTTAAACATGTGTTATTCAGACTAAAGTTACAGACCTGAGCTTTAAACATGTGTTATTTAGACTAAAGTTACAGACCTGAGCTTTAAACATGTGTTATTCAGACTAAAGTTACAGACCTGAGCTTTAAACATGTGTTATTCAGACTAAAGTTACAGACCTGAGCTTTAAACATGTGTTATTTAGACTAAAGTTACAGACCTGAGCTTTAAACATGTGTTATTCAGACTAAAGTTACAGACCTGAGCTTTAAACATGTGTTATTCAGACTAAAGTTACAGACCTGAGCTTTAAACATGTGTTATTCAGACTAAAGTTACAGACCTGAGCTTTAAACATGTGTTATTCAGACTAAAGTTACAGACCTGAGCTTTAAACATGTGTTATTCAGACTAAAGTTACAGACCTGAGCTTTAAACATGTGTTATTCAGACTAAAGTTACAGACCTGAGCTTTAAACATGTGTTATTCAGACTAAAGTTACAGACCTGAGCTTTAAACATGTGTTATTCAGACTAAAGTTACAGACCTGAGCTTTAAACATGTGTTATTTATGAGACTAAAGTTACAGACCTGAGCTTTAAACATGTGTTATTGAGACTAAAGTTACAGACCTGAGCTTTAAACATGTGTTATTCAGACTAAAGTTACAGACCTGAGCTTTAAACATGTGTTATTCAGACTAAAGTTACAGACCTGAGCTTTAAACATGTGTTATTCAGACTAAAGTTACAGACCTGAGCTTTAAACATGTGTTATTCAGACTAAAGTTACAGACCTGAGCTTTAAACATGTGTTATTCAGACTAAAGTTACAGACCTGAGCTTTAAACATGTGTTATTCAGACTAAAGTTACAGACCTGAGCTTTAAACATGTGTTATTCAGACTAAAGTTACAGACCTGAGCTTTAAACATGTGTTATTCAGACTAAAGTTACAGACCTGAGCTTTAAACATGTGTTATTCAGACTAAAGTTACAGACCTGAGCTTTAAACTTGTGTTATTTATGAGACTAAAGTCTTCAGTCTGGTTTCTCTTCAGGAGAGAAGTGCCGCGGCATCAAAGATCCAGACGATGGTTCGCGGTTTCCTCCAGCGGCGCAGAGCAGCGCGGCGCGTACGAGCCGCTGTGCGCCTCCAGGCGGCGTGGAGAGGTCACATGGTGCGGAGAGAACTGCGGCGGCAAAGACTGGCTCGGCAAGAGATCATACAGACACATGCAGCAACGGTCATCCAGGTGGGTTTGTGGTCTCTCTCTGGTCTCTCTCTCTGGTCTCTCTCTCTCTGTGGTCTCTCTCTCTCTCTCTGTGGTCTCTCTCTCTCTGTGGTCTCTCTCTCTCTCTGGTCTCTCTCTCTCTCTGGTCTCTCTCTCTCTGTGGTCTCCCGCTCTCTGTGGTCTCTCTCTCTGTGGTCCCTCTCTCTCTCTCTGTGGTCTCTCTCTCTCTCTGGTCCCTCTCTCTCTGTGGTCTCTCTCTCTCTGTGGTCTCTCTCTCTCTCTGTGGTCTCTCTCTCTCTCTGGTCCCTCTCTCTCTGTGGTCTCTCTCTCTCTCTCTCTGTGGTCTCTCTCTGGTCTCTCTCTCTCTCTGGTCCCGCTCTCTCTCTCTCTGGTCCCGCTCTCTCTCTCTGTGGTCTCTCTCTCTCTCTCTGTGGTCTCTCTCTCTCTCTGTGGTCTCTCTCTCTCTCTCTGGTCCCTCTCTCTCTGTGGTCTCTCTCTCTCTGTGGTCCCTCTCTCTCTGTGGTCTCTCTCTCTCTGTGGTCCCTCTCTCTCTGTGGTCCCTCTCTCTGTGGTCCCTCTCTCTCTCTGGTCCCTCTCTCTCTCTCTGGCCCCTCTCTCTCTCTGTGGTCTCTCTCTCTCTCTGTGGTCTCCCGCTCTCTGTGGTCTCTCTCTCTCTCTCTCTGTGGTCTCTCTCTCTCTGTGGTCTCTCTCTCTCTCTGTGGTCTCTCTCTCTCTGTGGTCCCTCTCTCTCTGTGGTCCCTCTCTCTCTCTGGTCCCTCTCTCTCTCTGGTCTCTCTCTCTCTCTGGCCCCTCTCTCTCTTGTGGTCTCTCTCTCTCTGTGGTCCCTCTCTCTCTGTGGTCTCTCTCTCTCTCTGGCCCTCTCTCTCTCTCTGTGGTCTCTCTCTCTCTGTGGTCCCTCTCTCTCTGTGGTCCCTCTCTCTCTGTGGTCCCTCTCTCTCTCTGGTCTCTCTCTCTCTGTGGTCTCTCTCTCTCTCTCTCTGTCCCTCTCTCTCTGTGGTCCCTCTCTCTCTGTGGTCTCTCTCTCTCTGTGGTCTCTCTCTCTCTCTCTGGCCCTCTCTCTCTGTGGTCCCTCTCTCTCTGTGGTCCCTCTCTCTCTGTGGTCCCTCTCTCTCTCTGGTCTCTCTCTCTCTGTGGTCTCTCTCTCTCTCTCTCTGGTCCCTCTCTCTCTGTGGTCCCTCTCTCTCTGTGGTCTCTCTCTCTCTGTGGTCTCTCTCTCTCTCTGTGGTCTCTCTCTCTCTCTCTGGTCCCTCTCTCTCTGTGGTCTCTCTCTCTCTCTCTCTGTGGTCTCTCTCTGGTCTCTCTCTCTCTCTGGTCCCGCTCTCTCTCTCTGTGGTCTCTCTCTCTCTCTCTGTGGTCTCTCTCTCTCTCTGTGGTCTCTCTCTCTCTCTCTCTGGTCCCTCTCTCTCTGTGGTCTCTCTCTCTCTGTGGTCTCTCTCTCTCTCTGTGGTCTCTCTCTCTCTGTGGTCCCTCTCTCTCTGTGGTCCCTCTCTCTCTCTGTGGTCTCTCTCTCTCTCTCTCTGGTCCCTCTCTCTCTGTGGTCTCTCTCTCTCTGTGGTCTCTCTCTCTCTCTGTGGTCTCTCTCTCTCTCTGTGGTCTCTCTCTCTCTCTCTCTCTGGTCTCTCTCTCTCTCTGTGGTCTCTCTCTCTGTGGTCTCTCTCTCTCTCTCTGTGGTCTCTCTCTCTCTCTCTGTGGTCCCTCTCTCTCTGTGGTCCCTCTCTCTCTCTGGTCCCTCTCTCTCTGTGGTCCCTCTCTCTCTGTGGTCTCTCTCTCTCTCTGTGGTCTCTCTCTCTCTCTCTGGTCTCTCTCTCTCTCTGTGGTCTCTCTCTCTCTCTCTCTGTGGTCCCTCTCTCTCTGTGGTCCCTCTCTCTCTCTGGTCCCTCTCTCTCTCTGGTCCCTCTCTCTGTGGTCCCTCTCTCTCTGTGGTCTCTCTCTCTCTCTGTGGTCTCTCTCTCTCTCTCTGGGTCTCTCTCTCTCTCTGTGGTCTCTCTCTCTCTCTGTGGTCCCTCTCTCTCTGTGGTCCTCTCTCTCTGTGGTCCCTCTCTCTCTGTGGTCCCTCTCTCTCTGTGGTCCCTCTCTCTCTGTGGTCCCTCTCTCTCTCTGGTCCCTCTCTCTCTCTGGTCCCTCTCTGGTCTCTCTCTCTCTGGTCTCTCTCTCTCTCTGTGGTCTCTCTCTCTCTCTCTGGTCTCTCTCTCTCTCTGTGGTCTCTCTCTCTCTCTGTGGTCCCTCTCTCTCTGTGGTCCCTCTCTCTCTGTGGTCCCTCTCTCTCTGTGGTCTCTCTCTCTCTCTGTGGTCTCTCTCTCTCTCTGTGGTCTCTCTCTCTCTCTGGTCTCTCTCTCTCTCTTGTCTCTCTCTCTCTCTGGTCTCTCTCTCTCTGGTCTCTGGTCTCTCTCTCTTGTCTCTCTCTCTCTCTCTCTGTGGTCTCTCTCTCTGGTCTCTCTCTCTCTCTGTGGTCTCTCTCTCTCTGTGGTCTCTCTCTCTCTGTGGTCTCTCTCTCTCTCTGTGGTCTCTCTCTCTCTGTGGTCTCTCTCTCTCTCTCTGTGGTCTCTCTCTCTCTGTGGTCTCTCTCTCTCTCTGGTCCCTCTCTCTCTGTGGTCTCTCTCTCTCTCTGGTCTCTCTCTCTCTGTGGTCTCTCTCTCTCTCTGTGGTCTCTCTCTCTCTCTCTGTGGTCTCTCTCTCTCTGTGGTCTCTCTCTCTCTCTGGTCCCTCTCTCTCTGTGGTCTCTCTCTCTCTCTGGTCTCTCTCTCTCTGTGGTCTCTCTCTCTCTGTGGTCTCTCTGTGGTCTCTCTCTCTCTCTCTGTGGTCTCTCTCTCTCTCTCTCTGTGGTCTCTCTCTCTCTCTCTCTGTGGTCTCTCTCTCTCTCTCTGTGGTCTCTCTCTCTCTCTTTGTGGTCTCTCTCTCTCTTTGTGGTCTCTCTCTCTCTGTGGTCTCCCTCTCTCTGGTCTCCCTCTCTGTGGTCTCTCTCTCTCTCTCTGTGGTCTCTCTCTCTCTCTGTGGTCTCTCTCTCTCTCTGTGGTCTCTCTCTCTCTCTTTGTGGTCTCTCTCTCTCTCTTTGTGGTCTCTCTCTGTGGTCTCTCTCTCTCTGTGGTCTCTCTCTCTCTCTGTGGTCTCTCTCTCTCTCTCTGTGGTCTCTCTCTGTGGTCTCTCTCTCTCTGGTCTCTCTCTCTGTGGTCTCTCTCTCTGTGGTCTCTCTCTCTCTGTGGTCTCTCTCTCTCTGTGGTCTCTCTCTCTGTGGTCTCTCTCTCTGTGGTCTCTCTCTGTGGTCTCTCTCTCTCTGGTCTCTCTCTCTCTCTCTGTGGTCTCTTCGTGGTGTCCGGCTTCTTGCACTAGATTCCAGCCCTGTTCCATGTTGTACTTGTTCCTGGTGTTGTCCTGGTCCTGTGTTGCTCATGGTGTTCTGGTGTTCTCCTGGTGCAGGCTCACTGGAGGAGGTACCATGCGGTGAGGTCGTACCAGCAGCTCCGGTACTTCACCGTCCTGGTGCAGGCGCAGTGGAGGATGCGGCGTGCGGCGTGTGCGTTCAGAGAGACTCTGTGGGCGGTGTCTGTGCTTCAGACTCGCACCAGAGCCTGGAGCGCGGCCAAGACACAGCGCCGACACTTCCTGTCCGTGCGAGCGGCGGCAGTCACGATCCAAGCCGCATACAGGCACCGGCGAGCCCTGAGGACGCAACAGCGACACCGGGCGGCACGCCTCATACAAGCGGCAGTTCAGCAGTGGTACCAGAGGAGGCTCTCGGAGAAACAAGCAGCTGCTCTGACTGTTCAAACCTGGTACCGCATGAGTGTGTGTGTGCGGCGGTACCAGCGGCAGAGAGAGGGCGCGCTGCTGCTGCAGGCGCGTTTCAGGAGCTACAGACAAAGACGGCAGCACCGCGCGGCGACGCTCATTCAGAGCGCCTTCAGAGGTTTCGTTGTGAGAAGGCAAACCAGACGAATGACGACCGCCGCCACGACCATCCAGCGGCGCTTCAGAGCCACGCTGACCCGAGACGTAGTTCGGCAGCAGTTCCTGAGCATGAAGAGCGCCGCTGTGCGCGTACAGGCGGCGTACCGCGGCAGAGCCGTGCGTCACCTGCTGAAAACCCAACACGAGGCTGCGACGCTGCTGCAGGCGTCGTTCAGGAAGTACGCAGCGCAGAAACGATACCAGTGCGTGAGAACAGCCACTGTACGGATCCAGAGGAAGTACAGAGCCACGCGCATCGCCAAGGAGACGCAGGACTCTTACCGTGGGCTTCGGAACGCCGCGGTCACGCTCCAAGCAGCGTGGAGAGGGAGGCGCCTCAGGAAGGAGCTGGAGGAGAGAACCCGCTGCGCTGTTGTGGTGCAGGCCCGGTATCGGCAGCGAGTCGCACAAAGACATTTCCAGTCGACCAAAGGAGCAGTGCTGGTTCTGCAGAAGTACTTCAGAGCGTACGCGGCCGGGAAGAGCGCACGGAACGCCTTTTTGGACACCCGAGCGGCCGCCGTGTCTCTGCAGGCGGCGTACAGGGGGATGGCAGCACGACGGCAGCTGCAGAGACGGCGTGCTGCAGCCGCGCTCGTCACATCCTGCGTTAAAATGTTCCTGCAGCGAAAGCGCTACGTGTTGCTTCGAAACGCCGCAATCGTCCTTCAAAGCCGTTACAAGGCGCGGGTCGTGGGCCGGGAGCAGATGCGCGTGTATACACAGACAAAGGAAGCCACGCTAACGATTCAAGCCGCGTTCAGAGGGTGGAGAGTGAGGCGAGAGCTGCAACGCCAAAGCGCCGCGGCCACGCTCATACAGGCGTGGTTCCGGAGCTACCGCATCAGAATGGCGTTTCTCGCCACAAAATGCGCAGCCGTTATTCTTCAAGAGCAATTCAGAGCGAGAAGGCTGAGGCTCCAACACGTGCAAAAGTTTAGGTCCATGAAGGCCGCCGCGGTCACCATCCAAGCATCGTTCCGCGGTTACAAGACGAGGAAGCACATCAGTGAGAAGCATCGCGCTGCTTCGATCATACAGAGCGCTTTTAAAACTTATTGTGCAAGAAAACAGTTTAAAGCCTTGAAAAGTGCAGCTCTGTTCTGTCAGAGGAGGTTTAAAGCCGTAACCGAAGCCAAGAAGCAGCACCGGGACTTTGTGGCTGCACGCAAGGCTGTCATTTTGTTGCAATCCGCTTGGAGAGGTTTTTTGATCCGAAAGGAGTTGCACCACATGCACACGGCCGCAACCGTGATCCAAACACATGTACGACGGTACCAGCAGCAGGTTCGGTACAAGCGGCTCCTTTGGGCCGCCGGGGTTTTGGGAAACCGTTTTTGGGCCAATCGACAAATGAGAGAAGAGATGCGCGCTCTTAAAGCTAAAAGGAACGCCGCGGTGGTCATACAGGCGGCTTTCCGAGGCGCGCTCGTCAGGAAGCTCCTGAAACACCAAAGGGAAGCCGCTGTCGTGGTTCAGAGAGCGTTCAAAGCGTACTGTCAGCGCCAACGCTTCCTCGCGCTGAAGCTGGCTGCTATCATTATCCAGCAGAGGTATCGCGCCTCAGAGGAATCCAAGAACGAGCGTGAACGCTATCTGCAGAAAAGGAAGTGCACCACGGTCATCCAGGCGGCGTACAGAGCGTGGCACGTTCGCAAGGAAGTGGCGCGTTGGCATCAAGCTGCGACTGTGATCCAATCAGCTTTTAGAAAACACAGAGAAGAGGTTAAATATGGAGCCATGCGTTTGTCAGCCATTTTGATTCAGAAACATTACCGCTCCTGGATCCTGACGAGACGCCAGCGTGCACTTTTCAGTCAAACGAGACGTTCTGTTGTCGTGATTCAAGCGGCGTTCAGGGGTCAGCGAGCGCGAAGGCGCCTCGTCACAATGCACAAAGCTGCGACTCTGATCCAGGCAAGTTTCAGGAGATACAAGCAGCAGTCGTGCTTCAGGCAGCAGCAATGGGCAGCGCGCACTGTGCAGAGGAGATTTAGAGCTCACAGAGAGATGAGGGCGAGCACGCTCCGGTACCAGCAGCTGAAGAAGGCGGCTGTGGTGCTGCAGGCCGCGTGCAGAGGTCTGAAAGCGAGGCGACGTGTGAAGAACATGCACCACGCAGCTTCGGTTGTGCAGACCGCCTTCCGAGCGTACGGCCAGAGACGGCGGTACTTGGCGCTGAAAGCTGCGGCTCTAACTGTTCAGAGACGGTATCGAGCCACTGTCACCGCCAAGAAGCAGAAGCAGCAGTTTCAGAGAGAGCGCGCAGCAGCTGTGCTCATCCAGGCGACGTACCGGGGATTCAGAGTCAGGAGAAGGATGTCCCAGATGCACCGCGCCGCTACGCTGATTCAGTGCGCCTTCAGGAAGCACCGAGAGAGGGTTCGTTTCCAGGCCATGCGTCTGTCGGCCGTCATCCTCCAGAGGCACTACCGCGCTCTGCTCCTTCAGAAACAACAGAGAGTGCACTTTCTGAAGCTTCAACAATGCACCGTTTCCATCCAGGCCATCTTCAGAGGTCGTCGTGCCAGAAAAGAACTGGCAGAGATGCACACGGCCGCCACAGTCATCCAAGCCGCCTTCAGAACACACAAGGAACGAGCCGAGTTTGTCCGACGGCGCCGGGCGGCTCGTGTTCTTCAGCAGAGGCTCCGAGCACGAACACAAATGCACCTGGAGCAGCAGCGCTACAGACGGCTGCAGGGGGCTACGGTCGCAATTCAGGCGGCGTACCGAGGGATGAAGTCACGGCAGCGTGACAAAGAGAGTAGTTATGCAGCGTGTGTTATCCAGAGGGCCTACAGAGCACAGTGCGAGCGCAGGAGGTTCCTGGTGCTGAAGGACGCCGCGCTCACAATCCAGCGGCGCTACAGAGCAACCACAGCGGCACAAAGACAAGTACAAAGCTATCAGCGACTGCGCACAGCAGCTGTGGTCGTGCAGGCGGTCTGCAGAGGACATGCGGTAAGGAAGGAGCTCTCACGCAGACATAGAGCTGCCACAGTGATTCAGGCGGCGTTCCGCGGTTATACAGCGCAAATGGGACTCCAGGCTCTACGGTTAGCTGCCGTAATCATCCAGAGACGTTACCGTGCTTCAGCCGAGCAGCGTCGGCAAAGAGAAAAGTTCCTCCAGTGTATAAGCAGCGCTGTCATTCTCCAAGCTGCCTTCAGAGGTTTCAGAGTCCGAAAAAGTGTGTCCAGACTGCACCATGCGGCTACAGTCATCCAAGCCAACTTCAGGAGGCACAGGGAGCGGGCGGTGTTCACACAGCTGCGCTCGGCCGCCTGTGCGCTCCAGCGGAGGTTCAGAGCTCACAGACTCATGAGGTTCGAGATGCAGCGTTATGGGAAGAAGCGAGAAGCGGCCACCGTGCTGCAGGCTGCGTACAGAGGGATGAGAGCGCGGCGACGGCTGAAGAACCAACATGCAGCTGCCGCCGTGGTGCAGGCGGCCTTCAGAGCTCGCCGTCAGAGAGCGCAGTATCTATCTCTGAAAGCAGCCGCAGTCACAGCGCAGAGGAAGTACCGCACAGCTGTCGCAGCCAGGAGGCGGCGGCAGCGCTTCAAAGCCACGCTCAGAGCCGCTCTAACGATTCAAGCTACGTATCGGAGCTTCAGAGTCAGGAAGGAGATGTGGCGTTTCCACCGTGCCGCGACCGTCATCCAGACAGCCTTCCGGAGACACCGACATGAAGCGGCGTTCCGGACCGCACGCTCGTCTGCGGTCCTCATCCAGAGACACTACCGCTGCTGGGTGCTGCGCAGACGAGACCGCAGCTCGTTCGTGCGGTTAAAGCGAGCCGCTGTGCTGGTGCAGGCCGCGTACAGGGGCCGGCGCATCAGGAGGAGGCTGGCGCTCCAGGCCGAGGCCGTGGTGCTCCTCCAGTCCCAGTGGAGGTGCCTGGTCCAAAGGCGGCTCTTCCAGCGGCAGAAGGAGGCGGTGCTGACCGTACAGAGAAGACTTCGCGCTTTGTGGCTGGGAAAACAGCAGCGTGCCGACTACAGCCGCCTGAGACGCGCCGCACTCGCTCTGCAGACGCACTGGAGGAGGCGCGCCGCACGCACACAGGTCAGTTCTACTTCCTCTTCTGATGCCTCCTCCTCTGCCTCCTCCTCTGATGTCTCCTCTGATGCCTTCTCCTCCTCAGGAGCTGGAGGTAGCTCGTGCTCAGAGTAGGCTGCGCTTCACTGCAGCAGTGTTCTTCCACCTTCAGGCCGTGAGGATCCAGAGGGTGCTACGGGGACACTGGGCCCTGGAGTCTGCACGATCTCAGCTCCACGCGGTCCTCACTGTTCAGGTACAGTCTGCACCACAGGTCTCTCTCTCTCTGGTCTCTCTCTCTGGTCTCTCTCTCTCTGGTCTCTCTCATAGTTAAAGTCTCAGATCCAAACTGAAGCTGATTCTCTCTGAGCTAACGGTGTCTCCTCCCACAGCGCTGCGTGAGGGCGTGGCTTCAGAGGAGGCGTTTCCGTGAATACCGGAGACGTGTGGTCACGGCGCAGAGAGCGGCGAGACGCTGGCTCCACCGTCGCCAGGACGCCGCACACACCATTCAGCGAGCGGCTCGACACTTCCTGCTGCGCCGCCAACAAGAGAGAGTCCAGAGAGGCATCATCAAAGCACAGGTACACAGACCAGAGGGAGAGAGACCAGAGGGAGAGAGACCAGAGGGAGAGAGACCAGAGGGAGAGAGACCGGAGGGAGAGAGACCAGAGGGAGAGAGACCGGAGGGAGAGAGACCGGAGGGAGAGGAGACCGGAGGGAGAGGAGACCGGAGGGAGAGGAGACCGGAGGGAGAGGAGACCGGAGGGAGAGGAGACCGGAGGGAGAGGAGACCGGAGGGAGAGAGACCAGAGGGAGAGAGACCAGAGGGAGAGAGACCAGAGGGAGAGAGACCGGAGGGAGAGAGACCGGAGGGAGAGGAGACCGGAGGGAGAGGAGACCGGAGGGAGAGGAGACCGGAGGGAGAGGAGACCGGAGGGAGAGGAGACCGGAGGGAGAGGAGACCGGAGGGAGAGGAGACCAGAGGGAGAGGAGACCGGAGGGAGAGGAGAGGAGACCGGAGGGAGAGGAGAGGAGACCGGAGGGAGAGGAGAGGAGACCGGAGGGAGAGAGACCAGAGGGAGAGAGCATATCTAGACCATAGTGTTCTCCTCCTTCAGGCTCTGTGGAGAGGACACCGCTGTCGCCGTGGAGACGAGCCCCGTGTGGTGGCGCTGAGGCGGCGGTTGGAGGCGGTCTCGGCAAGGGTCCGGGACGAGGACAAACTCTGCCACAAAACGTCCCGAGCTCTGGACTCTCTGCTGCGGCACAAGACCTTCTCCTGCGTCCTGGAGGCCCTCAGGAACCTGGGTACTCACACTGCACACAGACGCAGACACACACACACACACATACACAGACACACACACATACACAGACACACACACAAACGAAGACACACACACATACACAGACACATACATACACACACAGACACACACACATACACACATACACAGACACACACACACACACAGACACACACACACACACAGACACACACACAGACACACACACATACAGACACACACACATACACAGACACACACACATACAGACACACACACATAGACAGACACACACACAGACAAAGACACACAGACGCAGAGAGACACACACACATACACAGACACACACATACACAGACGCAGAGAGACACACACATACACAGACGCAGAGAGACACACACATACACAGACGCAGAGAGACACACACATACACAGACACATACACACACATACAGACACATACACACACACACACAGACGCAGAGACACACACCCTGTTACTAGACAGTTAGAAGAAAACGTTTGTGGCTTGTGTGTACTCTCTCTGGTCTCTCTCTGGTCTCTCTCTGGTCTCTCTCTGGTCTCTCTCTCTCTGGTCTCTCTCTCTGGTCTCCTGTTTCTCTCGCTCTGGTCTCTCTCTCTCTGGTCTCTCTCTCTCTCTCTCTGGTCTCCTGTTTCTCTCTCTCTGGTCTCTCTCTCTCTCTCTCTGGTCTCCTGTTTCTCTCTCTCTGGTCTCTCTCGCTCTGGTTTCTCTCTCTCTGGTCTCTCTCGCTCTGGTCTCTCTCTCTCTGGTCTCTCTCTCTCTTGGGTTTAGGTTATTGAAGAGTGAGAGAGGGTTTCTCAGCCTTTTTAAAACCACTCATTTCATTTTTAGAGAAAGAGTGAAGTTGTAAATATTTCCTCCTGAGAACGTTGTGCTTGTTCATAAAGTTTATTCATTTTGACTGTAAAAATGTAAATGAATGTATACGATGTGCCTCGCGGTGCCTCACCAGCTGTTGTTGAGGTTGTGGGTGTGATTCCAGAGACGGCCACACGTCTATCTCCGGAGTGCTGTGAGCGGCTGGTGGAGAGCGGGGCCACGGACGCCATCTTTAAACTAATCCGCTGCTGCAACCGGAGCGTCCCGAGTATGGAGGTCATCAACGCCGCCCTGCAGGTGCTGCGCAACCTGTCCAAGGTAGACACTGACCTCTGACCTGTCCTGTCCTCTGTCCTGTCCTCTGTCTTCTGTCCTGTCCTCTGTCTTCTGTCCTGACCTCTGTCCTGTCCTCTGTCTTCTGTCCTGTCCTCTGTCCTCTGTCTTCTGTCCTGTCCTCTGTCCTGTCCTCTGTCTTCTGTCCTGACCTCTGTCCTGTCCTCTGTCTTCTGTCCTGACCTCTGTCCTGTCCTCTGTCTTCTGTCCTGTCCTCTGTCCTGTCCTCTGTCTTCTGTCCTGACCTCTGTCCTGTCCTCTGTCTTCTGTCCTGTCCTCTGTCCTGTCCTCTGTCTTCTGTCCTGACCTCTGTCCTGTCCTCTGTCTTCTGTCCTGTCCTCTGTCCTGTCCTCTGTCTTCTGTCCTGTCCTCTGTCCTCTGTCTTCTGTCCTGTCCTCTGTCCTCTGTCTTCTGTCCTGTCCTCTGTCCTGTCCTCTGTCTTCTGTCCTGTCCTCTGTCTTCTGTCCTGACCTCTGTCCTGTCCTCTGTCTTCTGTCCTGTCCTCTGTCTTCTGTCCTGTCCTCTGTCCTGTCCTCTGTCTTCTGTCCTGTCCTCTGTCTTCTGTCCTGACCTCTGTCCTGTCCTCTGTCTTCTGTCCTGACCTCTGTCCTGTCCTGTCCTCTGTCTTCTGTCCTGACCTCTGTCCTGTCCTGTCCTCTGTCTTCTGTCCTGACCTCTGTCCTGTCCTGTCTTCTGTCCTGTCTTCTGTCTTCTGTCCTGTCCTCTGTCCTGTCCTCTGTCTTCTGTCCTGACCTCTGTCCTGTCCTCTGTCTTCTGTCCTGACCTCTGTCCTGTCCTCTGTCTTCTGTCCTGTCCTCTGTCCTGTCCTCTGTCTTCTGTCCTGACCTCTGTCCTGTCCTCTGTCTTCTGTCTGTCCTGTCCTCTGTCTTCTGTCCTGTCCTCTGTCCTGTCCTCTGTCTTCTGTCCTGTCCTCTGTCCTGTCTTCTGTCCTGTCCTCTGTCCTCTGTCTTCTGTCCTGTCTTCTGTCCTGTCCTCTGTCCTGTCCTCTGTCTTCTGTCCTGACCTCTGTCCTGTCCTCTGTCTTCTGTCCTGTCCTGTCTTCTGTCCTGACCTCTGTCCTGTCCTCTGTCTTCTGTCCTGACCTCTGTCCTGTCCTCTGTCTTCTGTCCTGTCCTCTGTCCTGTCCTCTGTCTTCTGTCCTGACCTCTGTCCTGTCCTCTGTCTTCTGTCCTGTCCTCTGTCTTCTGTCCTGACCTCTGTCCTGTCCTGTCTTCTGTCCTGTCCTCTGTCTTCTGTCCTGACCTCTGTCCTGTCCTGTCTTCTGTCCTGTCTTCTGTCCTGTCTTCTGTCCTGTCCTCTGTCCTGTCCTCTGTCTTCTGTCCTGTCTTCTGTCCTGTCCTCTGTCCTCTGTCTTCTGTCCTGTCCTCTGTCCTCTGTCTTCTGTCCTGACCTCTGTCCTGTCCTCTGTCTTCTGTCCTGTCTTCTGTCCTGTCTTCTGTCCTGTCCTCTGTCCTGTCCTCTGTCCTGTCCTCTGTCTTCTGTCCTGTCTTCTGTCCTGTCTTCTGTCCTGTCTTCTGTCTGTCCTCTGTCTTCTGTCCTGACCTCTGTCCTGTCCTGTCTTCTGTCCTGTCCTCTGTCTTCTGTCCTGACTCTGTCCTGTCCTGTCTTCTGTCCTGTCCTCTGTCCTGTCTCTGTCTGTCTTGTCTGTCCTGTCCTCTGTCCTGTCTGTCTTCTGTCCTGTCCTGTCCTCTGTCCTGTCTTGTCTTCTGTCCTGTCCTCTGTCCTGTCCTGTCTTCTGTCCTGTCTTCTGTCCTGTCCTCTGTCCTGTCCTCTGTCTTCTGTCCTGACCTCTGTCCTGTCCTCTGTCTTCTGTCCTGTCCTCTGTCCTGTCCTCTGTCTTCTGTCCTGACCTCTGTCCTGTCCTCTGTCTTCTGTCCTGACCTCTGTCCTGTCCTCTGTCTTCTGTCCTGTCCTCTGTCCTGTCCTCTGTCTTCTGTCCTGACCTCTGTCCTGTCCTCTGTCTTCTGTCCTGTCCTCTGTCTTCTGTCCTGTCCTCTGTCCTGTCCTCTGTCTTCTGTCCTGTCCTCTGTCTTCTGTCCTGTCCTCTGTCCTCTGTCTTCTGTCCTGTCCTCTGTCCTGTCCTCTGTCTTCTGTCCTGTCCTCTGTCTTCTGTCCTGTCCTCTGTCCTGTCCTCTGTCTTCTGTCCTGTCCTCTGTCTTCTGTCCTGTCCTCTGTCCTGTCCTCTGTCTTCTGTCCTGTCCTCTGTCTTCTGTCCTGCTCTGTCCTGTCCTCTGTCTTCTGTCCTGTCCTGTCTGTCCTGTCCTGTCTGTCCTGTCCTGTCTTCTGTCCTGTCCTCTGTCTTCTGTCCTTGTCTGTCCTCTGTCTTCTGTCCTGTCCTGTCCTGTCCTCTGTCTCTGTCCTGTCCTCTGTCCTCTGTCTCTGTCCTGTCCTCTGTCCTCTGTCCTCTGTCTTCCTGTCTGTCCTGTCCTCTGTCTTCTGTCCTGACCTCTGTCCTGTCCTCTGTCTTCTGTCCTGACCTCTGTCCTGTCCTCTGTCTTCTGTCCTGTCCTCTGTCCTGTCCTCTGTCTTCTGTCCTGACCTCTGTCCTGTCCTCTGTCTTCTGTCCTGTCCTGTCTTCTGTCCTGACCTCTGTCCTGTCCTGTCTTCTGTCCTGTCCTCTGTCTTCTGTCCTGACCTCTGTCCTGTCCTGTCTTCTGTCCTGTCTTCTGTCCTGTCCTCTGTCCTGTCCTCTGTCTTCTGTCCTGACCTCTGTCCTGTCCTCTGTCCTCTGTCTTCTGTCCTGACCTCTGTCCTGTCCTCTGTCTTCTGTCCTGTCTTCTGTCCTGTCTTCTGTCCTGTCCTCTGTCCTGTCCTCTGTCTTCTGTCCTGTCTTCTGTCCTGTCCTCTGTCCTCTGTCTTCTGTCCTGACCTCTGTCCTGTCCTCTGTCTTCTGTCCTGTCCTCTGTCTTCTGTCCTGACCTCTGTCCTGTCCTGTCTTCTGTCCTGTCCTCTGTCCTCTGTCTTCTGTCCTGACCTCTGTCCTGTCCTCTGTCTTCTGTCCTGTCTTCTGTCCTGTCTTCTGTCCTGTCTTCTGTCCTGTCCTCTGTCCTCTGTCTTCTGTCCTGACCTCTGTCCTGTCCTGTCTTCTGTCCTGTCTTCTGTCCTGTCCTCTGTCTTCTGTCCTGACCTCTGTCCTGTCCTCTGTCTTCTGTCCTGTCTTCTGTCCTGTCTTCTGTCCTGTCTTCTGTCCTGTCCTCTGTCCTCTGTCTTCTGTCCTGACCTCTGTCCTGTCCTCTGTCTTCTGTCCTGTCTTCTGTCCTGTCTTCTGTCCTGTCCTCTGTCCTGTCCTCTGTCTTCTATCCTGTCTTCTGTCCTGTCCTCTGTCCTCTGTCTTCTGTCCTGACCTCTGTCCTGTCCTCTGTCCTCTGTCTTCTGTCCTGACCTCTGTCCTGTCCTCTGTCTTCTGTCCTGTCTTCTGTCCTGTCCTCTGTCTTGTCCTCTGACCCTCGTCTCTGTCCTCAGTACCACCGGACCATTGAGGCTGTGTTCAGTGTGGAGCTCTCAGTGGAGACGCTGCTCCACCTGCTGCAGCGGTACAGGGAGAAGGCCGGAGACAAAACGGCCGACAAGGGAGGAAGCATCTTCACCAAGACCTGCTTCCTGCTGGTGCTGCTGGTGCAGGAGCGGGGGAGAGCACAGGTACGGGGGAGAGCACAGGTACGGGGGAGAGCACAGGTACGAGGGAGACGTCTGTGTGAGGGGCAGAGCACAGGTACGGGGGAGACTTCTGTGTGAGGGGCAGAGCACAGGTACGGGGGAGACTTCTGTGTGAGGGGCAGAGCACAGGTACGAGGGAGACGTCTGTGTGAGGGGCAGAGCACAGGTACGAGGGAGACTTCTGTGTGAGGGGCAGAGCACAGGTACGAGGGAGACGTCTGTGTGAGGGGCAGAGCACAGGTACGGGGGAGACTTCTGTGTGAGGGGCAGAGCACAGGTACGAGGGAGACGTCTGTGTGAGGGGCAGAGCACAGGTACGAGGGAGACGTCTGTGTGAGGGGCAGAGCACAGGTACGAGGGAGACGTCTGTGTGAGGGGCAGAGCACAGGTACGGGGGAGACTTCTGTGTGAGGGGCAGAGCACAGGTACGAGGGAGACGTCTGTGTGAGGGGCAGAGCACAGGTACGAGGGAGACGTCTGTGTGAGGGGCAGAGCACAGGTACGAGGGAGACGTCTGTGTGAGGGGGAGAGCACAGGTACGAGGTAGACGTCTGTGCGAGGGGGAGAGCACAGGTACGAGGGAGACGTCTGTGCGAGGGGCAGAGCACAGGTACGAGGGAGAAGTCTGTGTGAGGGGGAGAGCACAGGTACGAGGTAGACGTCTGTGCGAGGGGGAGAGCACAGGTACGAGGGAGACGTCTGTGTGAGGGGGAGAGCACAGGTACGAGGGAGACGTCTGTGTGAGGGGGAGAGCACAGGTACGGGGGAGACTTCTGTGTGAGGGGGAGAGCACAGGTACGGGGGAGACTTCTGTGTGAGGGGGAGAGCACAGGTACGGGGGAGACTTCTGTGTGAGGGGGAGAGCACAGGTACGAGGCAGACGTCTGATCTAAAGTCCTGCTTCAGGAGGTGATGAAGATCCCCAAAGCCCTGGAGCAGCTGCAGAGCATCTACCGCCTCACGGCGCGGAAACACAAGATGGACGCCGCAAGGACCATGGCCAAACACAAGATGGACGCCTCACTCAACGGCAACTTCTTCATCCGGGCCACGCCACGGAGAAGCAGACCGCAACCCAGGTTAGACCCCTGACCCTGTGACCTCTGACCCTGTGACCTCTGACCCTGTGACCTCTGACCCTGTGACCTCTGACCCTGAGACCTCTGACCCTGAGACCTGTGACCCCTGACCCTGAGTGTGTTGTTGCAGGTTTGCCCCAGACTGGGTCCTCCGCAGGGACTCGGCCCAGGACCTGGTGGACCCCTGCAGAGCGCTGCAGACTCTGGCCGAGGCTCTGGACTTCACTCTTTAAACTTTTATTGAAAAACGCCAAAAATAAATGTTTTTTTAAAGACTTTGTTTTTATCAGTTTCCTTTGAACTAATAAACCCGGGACCGAGGCCGTAGACCCGGGGCCGAGGCCGTAGACCCGGGGCCGAGGCCGTAGACCCGAGGCCGAGGCGTCTCCAGCAGGGGGCTCCATGTGCAGCAAAGGGACCAGAGAGAGCACATGGACCGGAGAGAGCACAGGGACCGGAGAGACTATAAGCAGAGGGACCAGAGAGACTATAAGCACAGGGACCAGAGAGAGCACAGGGACCGGAGAGACTATAAGCACAGGGACCAGAGAGACTATAAGCACAGGGACCAGAGAGACTATAAGCACAGGGACCAGAGAGACTATAAGCACAGGGACCAGAGAGAGCACATGGACCAGAGAGAGCACAGGGACCAGAGAGAGCACATGGACCAGAGAGAGCACATGGACCAGAGAGAGCACCTGGACCAGAGAGAGCACATGGACCAGAGAGAGCACAGGGACCAGAGAGAGCACAGGGACCAGAGTGACTATGAGCACAGGGACCAGAGAAAGCACAGGGACCAGAGAGAGCACAGGGACCAGAGAGAGCACAGGGACCAGAGTGACTATGAGCACAGGGACCAGAGAAAGCACTGGGACTGACCTTGAACATGAGAGAATCTTCTGCAACAAAAACATCTGAGACAGTTTGACCCTGTGCTCTTAGATCTGCTGTGTCTGTCTCATAAGGATCTGGTTACCGTGGTGACCTGCACCAGCTGTTCTTATAAATGAGTGTTTTCATTTGTCATCACATGTCGGAACATTTAAATATTCATGAACAACAGTATAAAACTATGAAAGTCCCTTTGCTGCGGAATCAGGACAAATCCACTGTTGGTTTAAAGAAGCTCAGAGGAATGGGCCCAAAGTCCACGGTTTTATCAGTTTAATTTACTGGAACTGAGCTGTTCTGTAAGTTACAGAGACCAGAGAGAGAGACCAGAGAGAGACCAGGGAGAGAGACCAGAGAGAGACCAGAGAGAGAGACCAGAGAGAGACCAGAGAGAGAGACCAGAGAGAGAGACCAGAGAGAGACCAGAGAGAGACCAGAGAGAGAGACCAGAGAGAGAGACCAGAGAGAGAGACCAGAGAGAGACCAGGGAGAGAGACCAGAGAGAGAGACCAGAGAGAGACCAGAGAGAGAGACCAGAGAGACCAGAGAGAGACCAGGGAGAGAGACCAGGGAGAGAGACCAGAGAGTGACCAGAGAGAGAGACCAGAGAGAGACCAGAGAGAGACCAGGGAGAGAGACCAGAGAGAGACCAGAGAGAGAGACCAGAGAGAGAGACCAGAGAGAGAGACCAGAGAGAGAGACCAGAGAGAGACCAGAGAGAGAGACCAGAGAGAGAGACCAGAGAGAGACCAGAGAGAGAGACCAGAGAGAGAGACCAGAGAGAGAGACCAGAGAGAGACCAGGGAGAGAGACCAGAGAGAGAGACCAGAGAGAGACCAGAGAGAGAGACCAGAGAGAGACCAGGGAGAGAGACCAGGGAGAGAGACCAGAGAGTGACCAGAGAGAGAGACCAGAGAGAGACCAGAGAGAGACCAGAGAGAGACCAGGGAGAGAGACCAGAGAGAGACCAGAGAGAGAGACCAGAGAGAGAGACCAGAGAGAGAGACCAGAGAGAGACCAGAGAGAGAGACCAGAGAGAGAGACCAGAGAGAGACCAGAGAGAGAGACCAGAGAGAGAGACCAGAGAGAGAGACCAGAGAGAGACCAGGGAGAGAGACCAGAGAGAGAGACCAGAGAGAGACCAGAGAGAGAGACCAGAGAGAGAGACCAGAGAGAGACCAGGGAGAGAGACCAGGGAGAGAGACCAGAGAGTGACCAGAGAGAGAGACCAGAGAGAGACCAGAGAGAGACCAGAGAGAGACCAGAGAGAGACCAGAGAGAGACCAAAGAGTTTGAACAAACAGTTTAATGAGGGGTTTGATGCAAACTGGGGGGACTCTCGCACAAGTATTCCACTGTGGTTTTACTGCAAAGGACAAATAAACTGAATCTGATGAAAATGTGTTTCTCCAGTGAAAGTGGAGCACCTGATCCAACCGCGGCCTTTGATTGGTCGGTTCAGTGAGAATGAACACAACTGTTTTCACAAAGTTTTATTTGATTGAACAAAATATGAAAAAAACCTTTCTCTGCAGCAAAAGTGACGGAGACGATTCTTCAGCCTCAAAGAACATCTCTGGAAGCTGGAAAAGAAGACATTTACATCTGGTCTTTCTCTGGTCTCTCTCTGGTCTCTCTCTCTGGTCTCTTTCTCTCTGGTCTCTCTCTGGTCTCTCTCTGGTCTCTCTCTCTGGTCTCTCTGGTCTCTCTCTGGTCTCTCTCTGGTCTCTCTCTCTGGTCTCTCTCTCTGGTCTCTCTCTGGTCTCTCTCTCTGGTCTCTCTCTGGTCTCTCTGGTCTCTCTCTGGTCTCTCTCTGGTCTCTCTCTCTGGTCTCTCTCTCTGGTCTCTCTCTGGTCTCTCTGGTCTCTCTCTCTGGTCTCTCTCTGGTCTCTCTCTCTGGTCTCTCTCTCTGGTCTCTCTCTCTGGTCTCTCTCTGGTCTCTCTCTCTGGTCTCTCTCTCTGGTCTCTCTCTGGTCTCTCTCTCTGGTCTCTCTCTGGTCTCTCTCTCTGGTCTCTCTCTCTGGTCTCTCTCTCTGGTCTCTCTCTGGTCTCTCTCTGGTCTCTCTCTGGCCTCTCTCTCCCGGTCTCTCTCTGGTCTCTCCTCTGGTCTCTCTCTGTCTGGTCTCTCTCTGGTCTCTCTCTGGTCTCTCTCTCTGGTCTCTCTCTGGTCTCTTTATCTCTGGTCTCTCTCTCTGGTCTCTCTCTGGTCTCTCTCTGGTCTCTCTCTCTGGTCTTTCATATATAGATACAAACCGACACAGAAGATGTCGTGCTGGTCCCAGGTGCCGTTGTAGCAGCGATAGTCCGGGTTTCCCTCCATGGTGAATCCGTCTCTGCACTGGTATGTGAGCACGGTACCAGAGGAGTACTGCTCCTTCACTGGTGCCAGGACCAGTGCGTTCTCTCTCCTCGGCGGAACTCTGCACAGCCTCAACTCGGCTGAAATAAACAACACACTCAGCAAACTGTCTGGTCTCTCTCTCTGGTCTCTCTCTCTGGTCTCTTTCTCTCTGGTCTCTCTCTCTGGTCTCTCTCTGGTCTCTCTCTGGTCTCTCTCTCTGGTCTCTCTCTCTGGTCTCTCTCTGGTGTCTCTCTCTGGTCTCGCTCTCTGGTCTCTCTGGTCTCTCTCTGGTCTCTCTCTCTGGTCTCACTCACGTGTACAGATGTGTTCATAGTCCACCCCTGCTGGTGTCCATGTCCCCTGGTTGCAGGTGAGTTCCTGGTGTGGGAGCTGAGAGGTGTATCCGCTCTCACACTGCAGCGGGACGCTCTCTCCGTGACTGAAGCTTTGACGAGTGTACGTGACGTTCAGGTGAGGGATGGAGGGGGCGGGGCCACAGTCTGTGGCCTCTACACACACACAAGTATGCAGACACACACACACACACAAGTATGCAGACACACACACACACAAGTATGCAGACACACACACACACAAGTATGCAGACACACACACACACAAGTATGCAGACACACACACACACAAGTATGCAGACACACACACACACAAGTATGCAGACACACACACACACAAGTATGCAGACACACACACACACAAGTATGCAGACACACACACAAGTATGCAGACACACACACACACACACACACAAGTATGCAGACACACACACAAGTATGCAGACACACACACACACACAAGTATGCAGACACACACACAAGTATGCAGACACACACACACACAAGTATGCAGACACACACACAAGTATGCAGACACACACACAAGTATGCAGACACACACACACACACACACACACAAGTATGCAGACACACACACACACAAGTATGCAGACACACACACAAGTATGCAGACACACACACACACACACACACAAGTATGCAGACACACACACAAGTATGCAGACACACACACACACACAAGTATGCAGACACACACACAAGTATGCAGACACACACACACACAAGTATGCAGACACACACACACACACACACACACACAAGTATGCACACACACACACACACACAAGTATGCAGACACACACACACACAAGTATGCAGACACACACACACACACAAGTATGCAGACACACACACACAAGTATGCAGACACACACACACACACACACACACAAGTATGCAGACACACACACACACAAGTATGCAGACACACACACAAGTATGCAGACACACACACACACAAGTATGCAGACACACACACACACAAGTATGCAGACACACACACACAAGTATGCAGACACACACACACACGCACACACACACACACACACACAAGTATGCAGACACACACACACACAAGTATGCAGACACACACACACAAGTATGCAGACACACACACACACGCACACACACACACACACACACACACACACAAGTATGCAGACACACACACACACAAGTATGCAGACACACACACACAAGTATGCAGACACACACACACACACACACACACACACACACAAGTATGCAGACACACACACACACAAGTATGCAGACACACACACACAAGTATGCAGACACACACACACACACACACACACACAAGTATGCAGACACACACACACACAAGTATGCAGACACACACACACACAAGTATGCAGACACACACACACACAAGTATGCAGACACACACACACACAAGTATGCAGACACACACACACACAAGTATGCAGACACACACACACAAGTATGCAGACACACACACACACGCACACACACACACACACACACACAAGTATGCAGACACACACACACACACACACACACAAACACACACACACACACACACAGTGCTTTTAAAGGTTACGCACATAACTACGGTTCTATGAATCCCAAACACCAGCGCAGCTTCCTGTCACTCAGAACCCTTTCGGTCTCTGAGAAGGTTCTGCAGGAGTATTGGATCAATGAGGATTATACAGCCTCCTATGGTCATCTGGTAGTCACAGGTGTGACACATGGTATTATAGGGCTGGAAAGTCTCGTCCCAGAAGCACTTCTGGTTCTTTGCTTGGATACAAACAAACCATCAGCTGTTGGAAGAGGCGCTTTAAATGAATTGTTGATTGTTTTCGGCTGTAATCAGAGTTTACTCGACACATGCCTTTGTTTGGTTTCCCAAAGACTGAAGCAGTTCTGATGAAACTGCTCTGATTTTACACACGGTTAGCTTGAATATGTATTCAAGCTAACTTGTAGCTAATGCTATCCTTTAAATAGAGCGCGGCTGAGCCTTTATTGTGGCTTGTATTTTAAGATAAGATAAACTTTATTGATCTCACACAGGAGAAATATTGTCTCTCTAATATTTATGTATTTGAGAGATAAAGGAGGAACATATTAAATAACATTTAACAAATGTTCAAAAATAACAGAAAACGGACAATCCTTAGTAATAAATGATTAGTAACAAACTACATCATGTTATCTTTGACAGACAGCAAAAAGGAAAAAGACCTGAAGTGAAGCTGCAGTGAGTGGACCTGAAGTGGACCTGAAGTGGACCTGAAGTGGATCATAAACAGGTCAGAGTCATATAGAAACTTCAGGTCAGAGTCATATAGAAACTTCAGCTCAGAGTCATATAGAAACTTCAGCTCAGAGTCATATAGAAACTTCAGGTCAGAGTCATATAGAAACTTCAGGTCAGAGTCTCATAGAAACTTCAGAGTCATATAGAAACTTCAGGTCAGAGTCATATAGAAACTTCAGGTCAGAGTCATATAGAAACTTCAGGTCAGAGTCTCATAGAAACTTCAGGTCAGAGTCTCATAGAAACTTCAGGTCAGAGTCATATAGAAACTTCAGGTCAGAGTCATATAGAAACTTCAGGTCAGAGTCATATAGAAACTTCAGGACAGAGTCATATAGAAACTTCAGATCAGAGTCATATAGAAACTTCAGCTCAGAGTCATATAGAAACTTCAGCTCAGAGTCATATAGAAACTTCAGATCAGAGTCATATAGAAACTTCAGGTCAGAGTCATATAGAAACTTCAGGTCAGAGTCATATATAAACTTCAGGACAGAGTCATATAGAAACTTCAGGTCAGAGTCATATAGAAACTTCAGGTCAGAGTCATAAAGAAACTTCAGCTCAGAGTCATATAGAAACTTCAGATCAGAGTCATATAGAAACTTCAGGTCAGAGTCATATAGAAACTTCAGGACAGAGTCATATAGAAACTTCAGGTCAGAGTCATATAGAAACTTCAGGTCAGAGTCATATAGAAACTTCAGCTCAGAGTCATATAGAAACTTCAGCTCAGAGTCATATAGAAACTTCAGGTCAGAGTCATATATAAACTTCAGGACAGAGTCATATAGAAACTTCAGGTCAGAGTCATATAGAAACTTCAGGTCAGAGTCATATAGAAACTTCAGCTCAGAGTCATATAGAAACTTCAGGTCAGAGTCATATATAAACTTCAGGACAGAGTCATATAGAAACTTCAGGACAGAGTCATATAGAAACTTCAGGTCAGAGTCATATAGAAACTTCAGGTCAGAGTCATATAGAAACTTCAGCTCAGAGTCATATAGAAACTTCAGATCAGAGTCATATAGAAACTTCAGGTCAGAGTCATATAGAAACTTCAGGACAGAGTCATATAGAAACTTCAGGTCAGAGTCATATAGAAACTTCAGGTCAGAGTCATATAGAAACTTCAGCTCAGAGTCATATAGAAACTTCAGCTCAGAGTCATATAGAAACTTCAGGTCAGAGTCATATATAAACTTCAGGACAGAGTCATATAGAAACTTCAGGTCAGAGTCATATAGAAACTTCAGGTCAGAGTCTCATAGAAACTTCAGCTCAGAGTCATATAGAAACTTCAGGTCAGAGTCTCATAGAAACTTCAGAGTCATATAGAAACTTCAGGTCAGAGTCATATAGAAACTTCAGGTCAGAGTCATATAGAAACTTCAGGTCAGAGTCTCATAGAAACTTCAGGTCAGAGTCTCATAGAAACTTCAGGTCAGAGTCATATAGAAACTTCAGGTCAGAGTCATATAGAAACTTCAGCTCAGAGTCATATATAAACTTCAGGTCAGAGTCATATAGAAACTTCAGCTCAGAGTCATATAGAAACTTCAGCTCAGAGTCATATAGAAACTTCAGCTCAGAGTCATATATAAACTTCAGGTCAGAGTCATATAGAAACTTCAGCTCAGAGTCATATAGAAACTTCAGCTCAGAGTCATATAGAAACTTCAGATCAGAGTCATATAGAAACTTCAGGTCAGAGTCATATAGAAACTTCAGGTCAGAGTCATATAGAAACTTCAGGACAGAGTCATATAGAAACTTCAGGTCAGAGTCATATAGAAACTTCAGGTCAGAGTCATATAGAAACTTCAGCTCAGAGTCATATAGAAACTTCAGATCAGAGTCATATAGAAACTTCAGGTCAGAGTCATATAGAAACTTCAGGACAGAGTCATATAGAAACTTCAGGTCAGAGTCATATAGAAACTTCAGGTCAGAGTCATATAGAAACTTCAGCTCAGAGTCATATAGAAACTTCAGCTCAGAGTCATATAGAAACTTCAGGTCAGAGTCATATATAAACTTCAGGACAGAGTCATATAGAAACTTCAGGTCAGAGTCATATAGAAACTTCAGGTCAGAGTCTCATAGAAACTTCAGCTCAGAGTCATATAGAAACTTCAGGTCAGAGTCATATATAAAACTTCAGGACAGAGTCATATAGAAACTTCAGGACAGAGTCATATAGAAACTTCAGGTCAGAGTCATATAGAAACTTCAGGTCAGAGTCATATAGAAACTTCAGCTCAGAGTCATATAGAAACTTCAGATCAGAGTCATATAGAAACTTCAGGTCAGAGTCATATAGAAACTTCAGGACAGAGTCATATAGAAACTTCAGGTCAGAGTCATATAGAAACTTCAGGTCAGAGTCATATAGAAACTTCAGCTCAGAGTCATATAGAAACTTCAGGTCAGAGTCATATAGAAACTTCAGGTCAGAGTCATATATAAACTTCAGGACAGAGTCATATAGAAACTTCAGGTCAGAGTCATATAGAAACTTCAGGTCAGAGTCTCATAGAAACTTCAGCTCAGAGTCATATAGAAACTTCAGGTCAGAGTCATATATAAACTTCAGGACAGAGTCATATAGAAACTTCAGGACAGAGTCATATAGAAACTTCAGGTCAGAGTCATAAAGAAACTTCAGGTCAGAGTCATATAGAAGCTTCAGGTCAGAGTCATATAGAAACTTCAGGTCAGAGTCATATAGAAACTTCAGGTCAGAGTCATATAGAAACTTCAGGTCAGAGTCATATAGAAACTTCAGGTCAGAGTCATATAGAGACTTCAGCTCAGAGTCATATAGAAACTTCAGGTCAGAGTCATAAAGAAACTTCAGGTCAGAGTCATATAGAAACTTCAGCTCAGAGTCATATAGAAACTTCAGCTCAGAGTCATATAGAAACTTCAGGTCAGAGTCATATAGAAACTTCAGGTCAGAGTCATATAGAAACTTCAGGTCAGAGTCATAAAGAAACTTCAGGTCAGAGTCATATAGAAACTTCAGCTCAGAGTCATATAGAAACTTCAGCTCAGAGTCATATAGAAACTTCAGGTCAGAGTCATATAGAAACTTCAGGTCAGAGTCATATAGAAACTTCAGGTCAGAGTCATATATAAACTTCAGGACAGAGTCATATAGAAACTTCAGGTCAGAGTCATATAGAAACTTCAGATCAGAGTCATATAGAAACTTCAGGTCAGAGTCATATAGAAACTTCAGGTCAGAGTCATATAGAAACTTCAGGACAGAGTCATATAGAAACTTCAGGTCAGAGTCATATAGAAACTTCAGGTCAGAGTCATATAGAAACTTCAGGTCAGAGTCATATAGAAACTTCAGCTCAGAGTCATATAGAAACTTCAGGTCAGAGTCATATAGAAACTTCAGGTCAGAGTCATATAGAAACTTCAGGTCAGAGTCATATAGAAACTTCAGGTCAGAGTCATATAGAAACTTCAGATCAGAGTCATATAGAAACTTCAGATCAGAGTCATATAGAAACTTCAGATCAGAGTCATATAGAAACTTCAGATCAGAGTCATATAGAAACTTCAGGTCAGAGTCATATAGAAACTTCAGGTCAGAGTCATATAGAAACTTCAGGTCAGAGTCATATAGAAACTTCAGATCAGAGTCATATAGAAACTTCAGGTCAGAGTCATATAGAAACTTCAGATCAGAGTCATATAGAAACTTCAGATCAGAGTCATATAGAAACTTCAGGTCAGAGTCATATAGAAACTTCAGGTCAGAGTCATATAGACACTTCAGGTCAGAGTCATATAGAAACTTCAGATCAGAGTCATATAGAAACTTCAGGTCAGAGTCATATATAAACTTCAGGTCATGGTCAGAGTTCACAGATTATTCCGACCGTTCACTCAGGTTTTTGTCCCAGAGACAGAATATTGTCCAAAACAAAACAGAAAAGTCCATGGAGGAGGAAGTCTGCGATCTCCGCACCGTGCACCGTGCACGTGTGGTTTGTTTGTATCCGCTTTCCAGCCCTATTATGTATTGTATTATTATTCAAACTCTGCATGCGCTCAAGGGGTCATTCAGTGCTATGCACCGCCCTCTGGTGGTCAGGAGGGAGGAAATAAAACCACAGATTTATGCCCAAAATGGGAACTGAACAAGTTTACTTTTTGGATGTTTTAGTCCGAGTCTCAGTCCGAGTCTCAGTCCGAGTCTCAGTCCGAGTCTCAGTCCGAGTCTCAGCCCGAGTCCCAGTCCGAGTCTCAGCCCTAGTCTCAGTCTCAGTCTCAGTCCCAGAGGAGGACCACCTACCAACACAGTCCTGGGTGGTCCAGCGGCCGCCCTCACACCTGGCCACGCCCCACCAGGCCTGGGACAGCAGCTTGAAGCCCGAGGAGCAGGTGTAGAACAGGTTCTTCTGACGCTCCAATGAGAATCCGTTGTGGATCTGGGCGTCTCCGCAGGTGCTGGGTTCTGCACACGGTGGTTACACATGTTTCTATCACAGCAACACAATCATCTCACTCTGTGTGTGTGTGTGTGTTTACCTGGGCAGGTGTGTTCTGGTCTCCACTTCCCTGACTGACAGCTCATGGTGAAGTCTGTGGCTCCGGTCGTGCAGCGCAGGTTCAGTTTGTGGCCGTTAGCGAACGGCGGGTTCCCGACACTCAACATCTGTGCGTTTGCAATGACCGGGGCTGATGTGCAAGGTACATCTGAACACACAAGTGATACAACTTACCTGTGTGTGTGTGTGTGTGTGTGTGTGTGTGTGTGTGTGTGTGTGTGTGTGTGTGTGTGTGTGTGTGCGCGCGCACTGGTTTTCATATATTTATGGGGACGAAAAAATGTATACACAGTCACCTCATGGGGACCGTATGCGGTATGGGGACCCAAAATCAAGTCCCCATGAGGAAAACAGTTAAAAAGCAATACATGAGCTGCTCTGAATGTTCCAATGCAGTTTTTAGCAATGGCCCAAAAAGCATGCTTTTTGATCACTGTGTATGTGTAAATTGTGCTCAGTAGCTCCCCCACATGGTTTTAGCTGGTATTGCACTCACTGCTCCACACACACATTTGTAGACTCTCCGCCCACTTCCTGGTCCCCGAATGGATGGATTTTCACAGCGAAAGGGTGTAACAGGTGGTAATTCAAGGAGTCATCAGAAGATGCCAAGAAGATGGCAGCAAAAGAAGTGCGAGCAGAATTAGAACACAAGGTAAACAGTTTTGCATGAATAAACAATTAATTTAGCTTAGGTAATTATTTTGCTAATCATCTTAAAGTATTGAGTTAAGTGTAGCCTTGTATTTTGATTTTATTTCACAGTAGAGTTGCATGCAACTCAGTATAAGGAGCTTATGTAAAGTAAAGGATTACTTTTTAAGCATAAATATTTTTATTCACTATAACTCATATTTGACCATAAAATTGTGTTAGCTAAAATTTCTCACATAGACTGATTGCAACATAATGTTTCGCTAGATTCAGTATCTAGTATAATATGTAGTATAGGAACATGTAATTCAGTTACTGTATAGAAACGAAAGGACTTTTCTTTATTTCTTTGTTGTTGTTGTTATTGTTAAAGAATACAAATTACAACCAGTATTCAACCAAAAGCAGGACAAGATAGCAGGGTAGCAGATTAGTTCAAATCATTACAGAAACTAATTGACAACTACATATTTTTGCTGTATTTTCACATTATGATCGCATTTAATTATGAAGGAGTTAATGAAAAATGAACTAATTGCTTTGGTAAGGTAGTGCATGAACAGAGTGATTCTAATCAGTGGCGTTTTGTCCCAGATGCAAAGGGAAGCATGGCATCCCTATTGTTTTGTCCATAATTTACATCAGATTGAGCATATTCAGAAACTGTATCATTCTTCAATGTGTTTATAGATGACCAGCACCACAGCTCATGACACGACTTTAGATGACGCCCATCCCTCTTCTCCACCTCTGAGTCAGATGGATGATAATGACAAGAATCCAAGCAACACTCTCAAAGAGGTATATGCATTTTACTTGTCTTTTTAAATGTGTTTGAATTTCTCTCTCCATTTGTAAGAAGCTTCAATGAAGAAAGACCACAGTTTTGATGATAGAGTTAGTGTGACAAAACAAGTCAACAAAACCAATAAATAATGTTAGTGTTGACAATGTATTTCCAGCAAATGCCATGTATAAATTAGATCAAACTCTTATTTAATCATCATTTTTTCTGGACTCTCATGATGTCCCCACATCACACTAAAATTAGAAGTGTGTAAAAGTGTCGAGGTCATAACTGTTTTGAAAGTCAGACTGTGGTAGTCTGGTCCCCATGAGAAACTGAAAGATTGTGTAAAGGAATGTCCCCACAAAACATGTTTTATGTTAAAATGTGTGAAAACAGAGGTTGCCAAGACAGAAAGGAAACTTTACTATAAAGTTGTTTTTTTCTGATGCTTTGTGCATGCTGGCATGCATGTCCTCTAGGAGAGTCTGCTTGCGTAGTTCTTGACTCTTGTTATATCTTATGAAGTGAGATTGTCTATTGGTTTCTTAAATCTCAATCTAAAACTTTTTGTTTTTTCTAAATGTGTTACAGATGACCAGCCCTACAGTGAGTGGTGTGGCTTTAGATGGCTCTTGTCCTTTCCTGTCTGTGAATCAGACGTTTGATGCTGCTGGTCCCAGTGACAGCCAACAGGTATATTCATAACATCACTTATTCATGTTATTTTGCTCTCTATATATGAACATTTATGACGATGGACATTAGTTTTCACGATAAACTATTGCGCATTAGCACAGCTGGCAATTTCTCATTATGCATTCAGAATGTGAGTGTTAGCAAAGTATTTCAGGCAGATTTAATTTGTCACAGGCATTTTTCTCTTGTTTAGTTATCAGTCTGTACTGGACACTCACGGTGTCCCCACACCACACTTTCACCAAGTGTGTGAGGAAAAACTGTGTAAAATGTTTAATATGGTCCCCATGAGGAAGTGAATTATTGTTTACAGAAATGTCCCCACAAAGCCTGTTTGATTCGAGATGTGTGAAGGCAGGCAGAGCTTGGCTGGGTAGGAAGGAATAGGAACGATAAAATTTGATTTGAAGTTTTATATCAGAAATTGGTTTTATGTGTTTCAACCAGGGATATTCTGTCAACACAATAGTTTATTTTCCTTATTGTTTTGTCCATAATTTACATCAGATTGAGCATATTCAGAAACTGTATCATTCTTCAATGTGTTTATAGATGACCAGCACCACAGCTTATGACATGACTTTAGATGACTCCCATCCCTCTTCTCCACCTCTCAGTCAGATGGATGATAATGACAAGAATCCAAGCAACACTCTTAAAGAGGTATATGCATTTTACTTATGTCTTTTTAAATGTGTTTGAATTTCTCTCTCCATTTGTAAGAAGCTTCAATGAAGAAAGACCACAGTTTTGATGATAGAGTTAGTGTGACAAAACAAGTCAACAAAACCAATAAATAATGTTAGTGTTTATTTATTTATTTATTTATTTGACAGGGACAGTGTACATTAATCAACATATGTCAACATATGTTGACAATGTATTTCCAGCAAATGCCATATATAAATTAGATCAAACTCTTATTGAATCATCATTTATTCTGGACTCTCATGATGTCCCCACATCACACTAAAATGTGAAGTGTGTAAAAGTGTCGAGGTCATAACTGTTTTGAAAGTCAGACTGTGGTCTGACTTTTTATTCTGGACTCTCATGATGTCCCCACATTACACTAAAATTAGAAGTGTGTAAAAGTGTCAAGGTCATGACTGTTTTGAAAGTCAGACTGTGGTAGTCTGGTCCCCATGAGAAACTGAAAGATTGTGTAAAGGAATGTCCCCACAAAACATGTTTTATGTTAAAATGTGTGAAAACAGAGGTTGCCAGGACAGAAAGGAAACTTTACTATAAAGTTGTTTTTTCTGATGCTTTGTGCATGCTGGCATGCATGTTCTCTAAGAGAGTCTGTTTGCGAAGTTCTTGACTCTTGTTATATGAAGTGAGATTGTCTAATGGTTTCTTAAATCCCAATCTGAAACATCTTTTTTTTTTTCTAAATGTATTACAGATGACCAGCCCTACAGTGAGTGGTGTGGCTTTAGATGGCTCTTGTCCTTTCCTGTCTGTGAATCAGACGTTTGATGCTGCTGGTCCCAGTGACAGCCAACAGGTATATTCATAACATCACTTATTCATGTTATTTTGCTCTCTATATATGAACATTTATGACGATGGACATTAGTTTTCACGATAAACTATTGCGCATTAGCACAGCTGGCAATTTCTCATTATGCATTCAGAATGTGAGTGTTAGCAAAGTATTTCAGGCAGATTTAATTTGTCACAGGCATTTTTCTCTTGTTTAGTTATCAGTCTGTACTGGACACTCACGGTGTCCCCACACCACACTTTCACCAAGTGTGTGAGGAAAAACTGTGTAAAATGTTTAATATGGTCCCCATGAGGAAGTGAATTATTGTTTACAGAAATGTCCCCACAAAGCCTGTTTGATTCGAGATGTGTGAAGGCAGGCAGAGCTTGGCTGGGTAGGAAGGAATAGGAACGATGAAATTTGATTTGAAGTTTTATATCAGAAATTGGTTTTATGTGTTTCATTCCAGGGATATTCTGTCAACACAATAGTTTATTTTCCTTATTGTTTTGTCCATAATTTACATCAGATTGAGCATATTCAGAAACTGTATCATTCTTTAGATGACGCCCATCCCTCTTCTCCACCTCTGAGTCAGATGGATGATAATGACAAGAATTCAAGCAACACTCTCAAAGAGGTATATGCATTTTACTTATGTCTTTTTAAATGTGTTTGAATTTCTCTCTCCATTTGTAAGAAGCTTCAATGAAGAAAGACCACAGTTTTGATGATAGAGTTAGTGTGACAAAACAAGTCAACAAAACCAATAAATAATAATAGGGGTGGAGCAAGATACCAGCATTTTATACTTCATGGTAAATGTGACTAATTAGGCTTTCTGATGAGATAGCTCTGGGGTGTTTTTTGATATGGACAATGTAAGTGATTACACAGCGTGCAAGTTCAAAAGACAGTTTGCTAATTGATGTTTGAGTGACAATGTAAGTTTACGTAAAGAGCGAATATTTTCACTTTGATTGAGGAACCTGGTCCATTACTGAAAAGGGTGAGAGCTTTAGTTTGGAATTCACTTCACTGTTCTGATCTTTTCTCTCTATTTGAAGGCAAACCCACACAGAAGAAGAAAAGTCCCTGGCAGAAGACAGAGGTTAATGACAGATGATGAAGTTCATCTCATCTCACATTGTACCAGGAAAAATGGACTGCGAGAAGTGTTTAAAGGCTGAACCTGAAATCGTTAAGAACCGGAACTGGCAGCACATAACATTTTATGTTTATAACCGCATTACAGCCTCCAAAAGGAAACTGCAATGTAACTAGCTTGTTGGTTACCAACTTCCTGGTAAGGCAGTTTTTCTTTTTTATTAAGTAGCTTTTAATTTAAACATTGCCCACTAAAAATGTCAAAATCTTAGGTTTTATTATTATTATTATTTTTTAAATACATACTGGGAACCCCTTTCATTGTTTACTGTTCAGACTTTAAGACTTCTTTCTGGATTCTTGACCAGACTGTTCTTCTGGGGTACCATGTTCAAATGTAAGAAGAGGGCTTTTTGTGTGCCTTTTGACCTAATCTGAGTCGATTTGGTGCACTGAATAAAATGTATTGTCATACACTTTATGTGAGTGTGCAATATCTATGTGTGACAGATATGATATGTGTGACACTACATTTAGCAAGCAAAAGAATTTTAAAAATGTGATTGTTTCATCCATCAGTATTCACATTCATTTTCCTTTATTGGAGGGTTTAATACAGATACTTGCCATTTGTCAGTAATACACCTGGTGCAATGTCCCCATTAATCACATATAAGTAGTGGGGGACCTTGTGTAAATTATGCAAATACATTTACATATATTTAAATTAGGTCCCTATTAATCATGTAAAATCGATTTTTCCCAAGTCCTCAGTTGTCATGGCCCAGCCATTACTCCATTAATTCTGACATTTGAAGTTGTGTATAAGCTAAGCTAGCCATAGTGGTTATACTTGATTTTTTTCATAGCTTTATAACATTTAGAAAGGCTGGTCCCTACATGTGATGAATAAAAAGTTGGTCCCCACAAACCATATAAACCCGTGTGTGTGTGTGTGTGTGTGTGTGTGTGTGTGTGTGTGTGTGTGTGTGTGTGTGTGTGTGTGTGTGTGTGTGTGTGTGTGTGTGTGTGTGTGTGTGTGTGTGTGTGTGTGTGTGTGTGTGTGTGTGTGTGTGTGTGTGTGTGTGTGTGTGTGTGTGTGTGTGTGTGTGTGTGTGTGTGTCAGCACTTCCCTATTGGGTTTCATTGAGCTAGAGCAGATTAACCCAGATTAATCGTCCATCTGTATACAGCATTTCCTTGGTTGATTACAGCCCTAGTATACAGTCTGTGTTAGCATTAGCATCTGTATACAGTCTGTGTTAGCATTAGCATCTGTATACAGTCTGTGTTAGCATTAGCATCTGTATACAGTCTGTGTTAGCATTAGCATCTGTCTACAGTCTGTGTTAGCATTAGCATCTGTATACAGTCTGTGTTAGCATTAGCATCTGTCTACAGTCTGTGTTAGCATTAGCATCTGTCTACAGTCTGTGTTAGCATTAGCATCTGTATACAGTCTGTGTTAGCATTAGCATCTGTATACAGTCTGTGTTAGCATTAGCATCTGTATACAGTCTGTGTTAGCATTAGCATCTGTATACAGCCTGTTAGCATTAGCATCTGCATACAGTCTGTGTTAGCATTAGCATCTGTATACAGTCTGTGTTAGCATTAGCATCTGTATACAGTCTGTGTTAGCATTAGCATCTGTATACAGTCTGTGTTAGCATTAGCATCTGTATACAGTCTGTGTTAGCATTGTCCATCTGTATACAGCCTGTTAGCATTAGCATCTGTATACAGCCTGTTAGCATTAGCATCTGTATACAGTCTGTTAGCATTAGCATCTGTATACAGCCTGTTAGCATTAGCATCTGTATACAGCCTGTTAGCATTAGCATCTGTATACAGTCTGTTAGCATTAGCATCTGTATACAGCCTGTGTTAGCATTAGCATCTGTATACAGTCTGTGTTAGCATTAGCATCTGTATACAGTCTGTGTTAGCATTAGCATCTGTCTACAGTCTGTGTTAGCATTAGCATCTGTATACAGTCTGTGTTAGCATTAGCCTCTGTATACAGCCTGTTAGCATTAGCATCTGTATACAGTCTGTGTTAGCATTAGCATCTGTATACAGTCTGTGTTAGCATTAGCATCTGTATACAGTCTGTGTTAGCATTAGCATCTGTATACAGTCTGTGTTAGCATTAGCATCTGTATACAGTCTGTGTTAGCATTAGCATCTGTCTACAGTCTGTGTTAGCATTAGCATCTGTCTTCCTGGTCCAGGCTGGGTACCTTCACATGTGCGGCTGTTGATCCAGGTCCCAGACTGACAGGTGACTTTGAAGCGGTCCTGTCCCCCGGTACAGCGGAACCACACATAGGCACCGTGCTCGTACAGCGCCTGCGACGCCTCCTCCATCTCTCCGTTGCTGAGTTCCGGCGCCGCGGCACAGGGTTTCTCTGCAGACAGACGTGTTACTCTCTCTGATCCGGGTCCCCAGCAGCTGACTCTCACCTTTACATGCAGTCAAGCCCTTCCAGTTGCCGTAGTGACAGGTGACGGGGAAGCGAACCCTCTCGTCGTAGCGGCATTTCAGGTTCAGTCTCGCGTTGTGCCGATATTTATCGTACTGAGGTCGATCAGTGATGTCTGTGTTTTTAAAGTCAGGTTTGGAGCATCCTCTTTCTGGAAAACATTTGGAATCAATGTTGGACAGAACTACAAGGTCTCTCTCTGGTCTCTCTCTGGTCTCTCTCTCTGGTCTCTCTCTCTGGTCTCTCTCTGGTCTCTCTCTCTGGTCTCTCTCTCTGGTCCCTCTCTGGTCTCCCTCTGGTCTCTCTCTGGTCTCTCTCTCTGGTCTCTCTCTGGTCTCTCTCTGGTCTCTCTCTCTGGTCTCTCTCTGGTCTCTCTCTGGTCTCTCTCTCTCGGTCTCTCTCTGGTCTCTCTCTCTGGTCTCTCTCTGGTCTCTCTCTGGTCTCTCTCTTGGTCTCTCTGGTCTCCCTCTGGTCTCTCTCTGGTCTCTCTCTCTGGTCTCTCTCTCTGGTCTCTCTCTCGGTCTCTCTCTCTGGTCTCTCTCTGGTCTCTCTCTCTGGTCTCTCTCTCTCTCTGGTCTCTCTCTCTGGTCTCTCTGGTCTCCCTCTGGTCTCTCTCTGGTCTCTCTCTGGTCTCTCTCTGGTCTCTCTCTCTGGTCTCTCTCTGGTCTCTCTCTGGTCTCTCTCTGTCTCTCTTCTCCCTCTGGTCTCTCTCTGGTCTCTCTCTCTGGTCTCTCTCTCTGGTCTCTTACTGGTCTCTCTCTGGTCTCTTACTGGTCTCTCTCTGGTCTCTGGTCTCTCTCCGGTCTCTCTCTGGTCTCTCTGGTCTCGCTCTCTGGTTTCTCTCTGGTCTCGCTCTCTGGTTTCTCTCTGGTCTCTCTCTGGTCTCTCTCTGGTCTCTCTCTGGTCTCTCTCTGGTCTCTCTCTGGTCTCTCTCTGGTCTCTCTCTCTGGTCTCTCTCTCTGGTCTCTCTCTGGTCTCTCTCTGGTCTCTCTCTCTGGTCCCTCTCTGGTCTCTCTCTGGTCCCTCTCTGGTCTCTTACTGGTCTCTTACTGGTCTCTTACTGGTCTCTCTCTGGTCTCTCTCTGGTCTCTCTTTGGTCTCTTACTGGTCTCTCTCTGGTCTCTTACTGGTCCCTCTCTGGTCTCTGGTCTCTCTCCGGTCTCTCTCTGGTCTCTCTGGTCTCGCTCTCTGGTTTCTCTCTGGTCTCTCTCTGGTCTCTCTCTGGTCTCTCTCTGGTCCCTCTCTGGTCTCTTACTGGTCTCTTACTGGTCTCTCTCTGGTCTCTCTCTGGTCTCTCTCTGGTCTCTCTCCGGTCTCTCTCTGGTCTCTCTCTGGTCTCTCTCTGGTCTCTCTCCGGTCTCTCTCTGGTCTCTCTGGTCTCGCTCTCTGGTTTCTCTCTGGTCTCGCTCTCTGGTCTCGCTCTCTGGTTTCTCTCTGGTCTCGCTCTCTGGTCTCGCTCTCTGGTTTCTCTCTGGTCTCCCTCTGGTCTCTGGTCTCGTTCTGGTCTGACCTGTGCACAGAGGTTGTGGGGTCAATCCGTTCCTGGTGCATGTGGCCTCCTTGCTGGTCTCTTCATAGTCCGTGTGGCACTTGTAGGTGACGGGCTTGTTCAGGTCCACCTGGTATTTCGGTGTCCTGCCCCAAATGTAAACGTGATCTCCAACTTTATCACATGTCACCACTGAAGACCAGAAGAGCAGAGGGTCAGGGAGCACAGGGACAGGGATCACAGGGACAGGGATCACAGGGACAGGGATCACAGGGACAGGGAGCACAGGGACAGGGATCACAGGGACAGGGAGCACAGGGTCATGGAGCACAGGGACAGGGAGCACAGGGACAGGGAGCACAGGGACAGGGATCACAGGGAGCATAGGGACAGGGATCACAGGGACAGGGATCACAGGGACAGGGAGCACAGGGACAGGGAGCACAGGGACAGGGATCACAGGGACAGGGAGCACAGGGTCATGGAGCACAGGGACAGGGAGCACAGGGACAGGGAGCACAGGGACAGGGATCACAGGGACAGGGAGCATAGGGACAGGGATCACAGGGACAGGGAGCACAGGGACATGGATCACAGGGACAGGGAGCATAGGGACAGGGATCACAGGGACAGGGAGCACAGGGACAGGGAGCACAGGGACAGGGATCACAGGGACAGGGAGCATAGGGACAGGGATCACAGGGACAGGGATCACAGGGACAGGGAGCACAGGGACAGGGAGCACAGGGACAGGGAGCACAGGGACAGGGAGCACAGGGACAGGGATCACAGGGACAGCGATCACAGGGACAGGGAGCACAGGGACAGGGATCACAGGGACAGGGAGCATAGGGACAGGGATCACAGGGACAGGGATCACAGGGACAGGGAGCACAGGGACAGGGAGCACAGGGACAGGGAGCACAGGGACAGGGAGCACAGGGACAGGGAGCACAGGGACAGGGAGCACAGGGACAGGGAGCACAGGGACAGGGATCACAGGGACAGGGAGCATAGGGACAGGGATCACAGGGACAGGGAGCACAGGGACAGGGAGCACAGGGACAGGGAGCATAGGGACAGGGATCACAGGGACAGGGATCACAGGGACAGGGAGCACAGGGACAGGGAGCACAAGGACATGGAGCACAGGGACAGGGAGCACAGGGACATGGAGCACAGGGACAGGGAGCACAGGGACAGGGAGCACAGGGACAGGGAGCACAGGGACAGGGAGCACACAGGGACATGGAGCACAGGGACAGGGAGCACAGGGACAGGGATCACAGGGACAGGGAGCATAGGGACAGGGATCACAGGGACAGGGAGCACAGGGACAGGGAGCACAGGGACAGGGAGCACAGGGACAGGGAGCACAGGGACAGGAGCACAGGGACAGGGAGCACAGGGACAGGGAGCACAGGGACAGGGAGCACAGGGACAGGGAGCAGAGGGACAGGGAGCACAGGGACATGGAGCACAGGGACAGGGAGCACAGGGACAGGGAGCACAGGGACAGGGAGCACAGGGACATGGAGCACAGGGACAGGGAGCACAGGGACAGGGAGCACAGGGACAGGGAGCACAGGGACAGGGAGCAGAGGGACAGGGAGCACAGGGAGCACAGGATGGAGCACAGGGACATGGAGCACAGGGACAGGGAGCACAGGGTCAGGGAGCACAGGGACAGGGAGCACAGGGACAGGGAGCACAGGGACAGGGATCACAGGGACAGGGAGCACAGGGACAGGGAGCACAGGGACAGGGAGCATAGGGACAGGGATCACAGGGACAGGGATCACAGGGACAGGGATCACAGGGACAGGGAGCACAGGGACAGGGAGCACAGGGTCAGGGAGCACAGGGACAGGGAGCATAGGGACAGGGATCACAGGGACAGGGAGCACAGGGACAGGGAGCACAGGGACAGGGATCACAGGGACAGGGATCACAGGGACAGGGAGCACAGGGACAGGGAGCACAGGGACATGGAGCACAGGGACAGGGAGCACAGGGACAGGGATCACAGGGACAGGGATCACAGGGACAGGGATCACAGGGACAGGGAGCACAGGGACAGGGAGCACAGGGTCAGGGAGCACAGGGACAGGGAGCATAGGGTCAGGGAGCATAGGGACAGGGAGCACAGGGACAGGGAGCACAGGGACAGGGATCACAGGGACAGGGAGCACAGGGACAGGGAGCACAGGGACAGGGAGCACAGGGACAGGGATCACAGGGACAGGGATCACAGGGACAGGGAGCACAGGGACAGGGAGCACAGGGACATGGAGCACAGGGACATGGAGCACAGGGACATGGAGCACAGGGACAGGGAGCACAGGGACATGGAGCACAGGGACATGGAGCACAGGGACAGGGAGCACAGGGACAGGGAGCACAGGGACAGGGAGCACAGGGACAGGGAGCGCAGGGACAGGGAGCACAGGGACAGGGAGCAGAGGGACAGGGAGCACAGGGACAGGGAGCACAGGGACATGGAGCACAGGGACAGGGAGCACAGGGACAGGGAGCACAGGGACAGGGAGCACAGGGTCAGGGAGCACAGGGACAGGGAGCACAGGGACAGGGAGCACAGGGACAGGGAGCACAGGGACAGGGAGCACAGGGACAGGGAGCACAGGGACATGGAGCACAGGGACATGGAGCACAGGGACAGGGAGCACAGGGACAGGGAGCACAGGGACAGGGAGCACAGGGACAGGGAGCACAGGGTCATGGAGCACAGGGACATGGAGCACAGGGACAGGGAGCACAGGGACAGGGAGCACAGGGACAGGGAGCACAGGGACAGGGAGCACAGGGACAGGGAGCACAGGGACAGGGAGCACAGGGACAGGGAGCATAGGGACAGGGAGCACAGGGTCATGGAGCACAGGGACAGGGAGCACAGGGACAGGGAGCATAGGGACATGGAGCACAGGGACAGGGAGCACAGGGTCATGGAGCACAGGGTCATGGAGCACAGGGACATGGAGCACAGGGACAGGGAGCACAGGGACAGTGAGCACAGGGACAGGGAGCATAGGGACATGGAGCACAGGGACAGGGAGCACAGGGACAGGGATCACAGGGACAGGGAGCACAGGGACAGGGAGCACAGGGACAGGGAGCACAGGGACAGGGAGCACAGGGACAGGGAGCACAGGGACAGGGAGCACAGGGACATGGAGCACAGGGACAGGGAGCACAGGGACAGGGATCACAGGGACAGGGATCACAGGGAGCACAGGGACAGGGAGCACAGGGACATGGAGCACAGGGACAGGGATCACAGGGTCAGGGAGCACAGGGACATGGAGCACAGGGTCAGGGAGCACAGGGACATGGAGCACAGGGACAGGGAGCACAGGGACAGGGATCACAGGGACATGGAGCACAGGGACAGGGATCACAGGGACAGGGAGCACAGGGACAGGGATCACAGGGACAGGGAGCATAGGGACAGGGATCACAGGGACAGGGAGCATAGGGACAGGGATCACAGGGACAGGGATCACAGGGACAGGGATCACAGGGACAGGGAGCATAGGGACAGGGATCACAGGGACAGGGAGCACAGGGACAGGGAGCACAGGGACAGGGATCACAGGGACATGGAGCACAGGGACAGGGATCACAGGGACAGGGAGCACAGGGACAGGGATCACAGGGACATGGAGCACAGGGACAGGGATCACAGGGACAGGGAGCACAGGGACAGGGATCACAGGGACAGGGAGCACAGGGACAGGGAGCACAGGGACAGGGAGCACAGGGACATGGAGCACAGGGACAGGGAGCACAGGGACAGGGAGCACAGGGACAGGGAGCATAGGGACAGGGATCACAGGGACAGGGATCACAGGGACAGGGAGCACGGGACAGGGAGCACAGGGACAGGGATCACAGGGACATGGAGCACAGGGACATGGAGCACAGGGACATGGAGCACAGGGGACATGGAGCACAGGGACATGGAGCACAGGGACAGGGAGCACAGGGACAGGGAGCACAGGGACAGGGAGCACAGGGACATGGAGCACAGGGACAGGGAGCACAGGGACAGGGAGCACAGGGACAGGGAGCACAGGGACAGGGATCACAGGGACAGGGAGCACAGGGACAGGGAGCACAGGGACATGGAGCACAGGGACAGGGAGCACAGGGACAGGGAGCACAGGGACATGGAGCACAGGGACAGGGAGCGCAGGGACAGGGAGCACAGGGACAGGGATCACAGGGACAGGGAGCACAGGGACAGGGAGCACAGGGACAGGGAGCACAGGGTCAGGGAGCACAGGGACAGGGAGCACAGGGACAGGGAGCACAGGGACAGGGAGCACAGGGTCAGGGAGCACAGGGACAGGGAGCACAGGGTCAGGGAGCACAGGGACAGGGATCACAGGGACAGGGAGCATAGGGACAGGGATCACAGGGACAGGGATCACAGGGACAGGGAGCATACAGGGACAGGGAGCACAGGGACAGGGAGCACAGGGACAGGGAGCACAGGGACAGGGATCACAGGGACAGGGATCACAGGGACAGGGAGCACAGGGACAGGGAGCACAGGGACAGGGAGCACAGGGACAGGGAGCACAGGGACAGGGAGCACAGGGACATGGAGCACAGGGACAGGGAGCACAGGGACAGGGATCACAGGGACAGGGAGCATAGGGACATGGAGCACAGGGACATGGAGCACAGGGACATGGAGCACAGGGTCATGGAGCACAGGGACATGGAGCACAGGGACAGGGAGCACAGGGACAGGGAGCACAGGGACAGGGAGCTAGGGACATGGAGCACAGGGACAGGGAGCACAGGGTCATGGAGCACAGGGACATGAGCACAGGGACAGGGAGCACAGGGACAGGGATCACAGGGACAGGGAGCATAGGGACAGGGATCACAGGGACAGGGATCACAGGGACAGGGAGCACAGGGACAGGGAGCACAGGGACATGGAGCACAGGGACATGGAGCACAGGGACAGGGAGCACAGGGACATGGAGCACAGGGACAGGGAGCACAGGGACAGGGAGCACAGGGACAGGGAGCACAGGGACAGGGAGCACAGGGACAGGGAGCACAGGGACAGGGAGCACAGGGACAGGGAGCACAGGGACAGGGAGCACAGGGACAGGGATCACAGGGACAGGGAGCACAGGGACAGGGAGCACAGGGACATGGAGCACAGGGACATGGAGCACAGGGTCATGGAGCACAGGGACATGGAGCACAGGGACAGGGAGCACAGGGACAGGGAGCACAGGGACAGGGAGCACAGGGACATGGAGCACAGGGACAGGGAGCACAGGGTCATGGAGCACAGGGACATGAGCACAGGGACAGGGAGCACAGGGACAGGGATCACAGGGACAGGGAGCGCAGGGACAGGGAGCACAGGGACAGGGAGCACAGGGACAGGGAGCACAGGGACAGGGAGCACAGGGACAGGGAGCACAGGGACAGGGAGCACAGGGACAGGGATCACAGGGACAGGGAACATAGGGACATGGAGCACAGGGACAGGGAGCACAGGGTCATGGAGCACAGGGTCATGGAGCACAGGGTCATGGAGCACAGGGACAGGGAGCACAGGGACAGGGAGCACAGGGACATGGAGCACAGGGACAGGGAGCACAGGGACAGGGAGCATAGGGACATGGAGCACAGGGACAGGGAGCACAGGGTCATGGAGCACAGGGTCATGGAGCACAGGGTCATGGAGCACAGGGACAGGGAGCACAGGGACAGGGAGCACAGGGACAGGGAGCATAGGGACATGGAGCACAGGGACAGGGAGCACAGGGTCATGGAGCACAGGGTCATGGAGCACAGGGACATGGAGCACAGGGACAGGGAGCACAGGGACAGGGATCACAGGGACAGGGAGCATAGGGACAGGGATCACAGGGACAGGGAGCACAGGGACAGGGAGCACAGGGACAGGGATCACAGGGACAGGGAGCATAGGGACAGGGAGCACAGGGACAGGGAGCACAGGGACAGGGAGCACAGGGACATGGAGCACAGGGACAGGGATCACAGGGACAGGGAGCATAGGGACAGGGATCACAGGGACAGGGATCACAGGGACAGGGAGCACAGGGACAGGGAGCATAGGGACAGGGATCACAGGGACAGGGATCACAGGGACAGGGAGCACAGGGACAGGGAGCACAGGGACAGGGAGCACAGGGACAGGGAGCACAGGGTCAGGGAGCACAGGGTCAGGGAGCACAGGGACAGGGAGCACAGGGACAGGGAGCACAGGGACTCACGCTGGCAGGTCGGGCGGTGGTCCCAGTCCCCGGTCTGGGTGCAGTGCAGTTGTGTGTCCTGTGTGTGTGTGTCTTTGACCCATCGGTCGTCGCTGCATTTGACCCGCACCGTCTCCCTCACTTTGAACTTGAATTTGTCCTGCGGCAAAAAGACGGTTCCTTCAGGAAGAGGCCGCGGCAACGCACAGGTGATCACTGCAACACACACAGACACACACCGAGACACAGACACACACACAGACACAAACACACACACACCGAGACACAGACACACACACAGACACACACCGAGACACAGACACACACACAGACACAAACACACACACACCGAGACACAGACACACACACAGACACACACACACACACACACATGAGGGAGTCTGTCACTGGTGTGTGTTCAATTCAATAATTTATTGTCATTGTCACAACATTGTTGGTGATGTGTGTGTGTGTGTGTGTGTGTGTGTGTGTGCACTTGTTTTCAACTCCTGGTGGGGTCCATAACCTGATGGTGCGTTCAGACCAAAAGCCTCAAAAAGCTTTTGACGCTCCTGACCAGTGTGGGAGGGTCTCGGCTAAAAAGTGTCCAAAATGAGGTGCGCTGACATGCTGCAGTACCACCCCGGGCCTGTGGGGGTGGACCCGGAATAAGAATTTGCCAATGCTAACATATAGCATTAGCAGACCTCTGGAAAACGTCTATACAGGATGGTCCAAGAGTTGTCTCTTGGCCCAAAGCTCCGTTCCACATGTGTGTCAATGCTGAGTGTTCTGGACCAGTCTAGTTTAGTCGCTGTGGACTTTAGAAGTCTCTCGTTCAAATGAATGGAGCTGCTCCGGCTGACGCATGGACAGATGTGTTTTTTCACAATGTTCTTGTGGGCGGGACCACTCGCGGCCATTTTGGATTGTTCCAGTAGAGCACATTTTTTAGTTAGAACGGCGGAGATACTGACTCTGTTTGTTAGTATATACAGTCTATGGTCCTGACACGCCTGACGCCGGTGGGAGGAGCTTCTCTGTTGCCGGTGGGAGGAGCTTCTCTGTTGCCGGTGGGAGGAACTTCTCTGTTGCCGGTGGGAGGAGCTTCTCTGTTGCCGGTAGGAGGAGCTTCTCTGTTGCCGGTGGGAGGAGCTTCTCTGTTGCCGGTGGGAGGAGCTTCTCTGTTGCCTGTGGGAGGAGCTTCTCTGTTGCCGGTGGGAGGAACTTCTCTGTTGCCGGTGGGAGGAGCTTCTCTGTTGCCGGTAGGAGGAGCTTCTCTGTTGCCGGTGGGAGGAGCTTCTCTGTTGCCGGTGGGAGGAGCTTCTCTGTTGCCGGTGGGAGGAGCTTCTCTGTTGCCGGTGGGAGGAGCTTCTCTGTTGCTGGTGGGAGGAGCTTCTCTGTTGCCGGTGGGAGGAGCTTCTCTGTTGCCGGTGGGAGGAGCTTCTTTGTTGCCAGTGGGAGGAGCTTCTTTGTTGCCGGTGGGAGGAGCTTCTCTGTTGCCTGTGGTCAGGGCAGCGGTGAGACAGACTGAGGCTGAGCTTCATCATTTACTTCCCCAAGTCACTCGCCCAGTTTGAGTCTCCTCTCCCCACCTTTCTCTCTCCTCTCCCCACCTCTCTCTCACCTCTCTCCTCTTCCCACCTCTCTCTCTCCTCTCCCCACCTCTCCCTCCCCTGTCCCCACCTCTCTCTTGCCTCTCCCCACCTCTCTCTCCTCTCTCCCCGCCTCTCTCTCTCTCCTCTCCCCGCCTCTCTCTCGCCTCTGCCCGCCTCTCGCTCTCCTCTCCCCACGTCTCTCTCGCCTCTCCCCACCTCTCTCTCTCCTCTCCCCACCTCTCTCTCTCCTCTCCCCGCCTCTCTCTCTCCTCTCCCCGCCTCTCTCTCTCCTCTCCCCACCTCTCTCTCTCCTCTCCCCGCCTCTCTCTCTCCTCTCCCCGCCTCTCTCTCTCCTCTCCCCGCCTCTCTCTCGCCTCTGCCCGCCTGGAGCTCTCCTCTGCCCGCCTGGAGCTCTCCTCTGCCCGCCTGGAGCTCTCCTCTGCCCGCCTCTCTCTCCTCTGCCCGCCTGGAGCTCTCCTCTGCCCGCCTGGAGCTCTCCTCTGCCCGCCTGGAGCTCTCCTCTGCCCGCCTGGAGCTCTCCTCTGCCCGCCTGGAGCTCTCCTCTGCCCGCCTGGAGCTCTCCTCTGCCCGCCTGGAGCTCTCCTCTGCCCGCCTGGAGCTCTCCTCTGCCCGCCTGGAGCTCTCCTCTGCCGGCCTGGAGCTCTCCTCTGCCCGCCTGGAGCTGCCTCGCTCTCGCTCTAAGCCAGACTCATCGTCAGCTTCTTCTTATATTAAATAAATTACTAATGGTGCTTTCAGACCGGATCATGCTGCGTCGGGTGTCAATGCAAAGTCTATGTTGGCGCGCGTTCAACCGTCACAACGCACGGACCTCTCGGCACGAACGGACTGTTCAATAATGACACACGGACTGTTCAATAATGACACACGGACTGTTCAATAATGACACACGGACTGTTCAATAATGACACACGGACTGTTCAATAATGACACACGGACTGTTCAATAATGACACACGGACTGTTCAATAATGACACACGGACTGTTCAATAATGACACACGGACTGTTCAATAATGACACACGGACTGTTCAATAATGACACACGGACTTTTCAATAATGACACACAGACTGTTCAATAATGACACACGGACTTTTCAATAATGACACACAGACTGTTCAATAATGACACGGACTGTTCAATAATGACGCACGGACTGTTCAATAATGACACGGACTGTTCAATAATGACACGGACTGTTCAATAATGACACACGGACTGTTCAATAATGACACACAGACTGTTCAATAATGACACGGACTGTTCAATAATGACACACGGACTGTTCAATAATGACACGGACTGTTCAATAATGACACACAGACTGTTCAATAATGACACGGACTGTTCAATAATGACACGGACTGTTCAATAATGACACACGGACTGTTAAATAATGACACACGGACTGTTCAATAATGACACACGGACTGTTCAATAATGACACGGACTGTTCAATAATGACACACAGACTGTTCAATAATGACACACAGACTGTTCAATAATGACACACGGACTGTTCAATAATGACACACAGACTGTTCAATAATGACACGGACTGTTCAATAATGACACACAGACTGTTCAATAATGACACGGACTGTTCAATAATGACGCACAGACTGTTCAATAATGACACACAGACTGTTCAATAATGACACACGGACTGTTCAATAATGACACGGACTGTTCAATAATGACACGGACTGTTCAATAATGACATGGACTGTTCAATAATGACACACGGACTGTTCAATAATGACACACAGACTGTTCAATAATGACACGGACTGTTCAATAATGACACGGACTGTTCAATAATGACACACGGACTGTTCAATAATGACACACGGACTGTTCAATAATGACACACAGACTGTTCAATAATGACGCACGGACTGTTCAATAATGACACGGACTGTTCAATAATGACACGGACTGTTCAATAATGACACGGACTGTTCAATAATGACACACGGACTGTTCAATAATGACACACGGACTGTTCAATAATGACACACAGACTGTTCAATAATGACACGGACTGTTCAATAATGACGCACGGACTGTTCAATAATGACACGGACTGTTCAATAATGACACACAGACTGTTCAATAATGACACGGACTGTTCAATAATGACACGGACTGTTCAATAATGACACACAGACTGTTCAATAATGACACGGACTGTTCAATAATGACACACGGACTGTTCAATAATGACACGGACTGTTCAATAATGACACGGACTGTTCAATAATGACACACGGACTGTTCAATAATGACACACGGACTGTTCAATAATGACACACGGACTGTTCAATAATGACACACGGACTGTTCAATAATGACACACGGACTGTTCAATAATGACACACGGACTGTTCAATAATGACACACAGACTGTTCAATAATGACACAGACTGTTCAATAATGACACACAGACTGTTCAATAATGACACACGGACTGTTCAATAATGACACGGACTGTTCAATAATGACACGGACTGTTCAATAATGACACACGGACTGTTCAATAATGACACACGGACTGTTCAATAATGACACACGGACTGTTCAATAATGACACAGACTGTTCAATAATGACACGGACTGTTCAATAATGACGCACGGACTGTTCAATAATGACACGGACTGTTCAATAATGACACGGACTGTTCAATAATGACACGGACTGTTCAATAATGACACACGGACTGTTCAATAATGACACACGGACTGTTCAATAATGACACACGGACTGTTCAATAATGACACACAGACTGTTCAATAATGACACGGACTGTTCAATAATGACACACGGACTGTTCAATAATGACACACAGACTGTTCAATAATGACACGGACTGTTCAATAATGACGCACGGACTGTTCAATAATGACACGGACTGTTCAATAATGACACACAGACTGTTCAATAATGACGCACAGACTGTTCAATAATGACACACAGACTGTTCAATAATGACACACGGACTGTTCAATAATGACACGGACTGTTCAATAATGACACACGGACTGTTCAATAATGACACGGACTGTTCAATAATGACGCACAGACTGTTCAATAATGACACACAGACTGTTCAATAATGACACGGACTGTTCAATAATGACGCACGGACTGTTCAATAATGACACGGACTGTTCAATAATGACACACGGACTGTTCAATAATGACACGGACTGTTCAATAATGACGCACAGACTGTTCAATAATGACACACAGACTGTTCAATAATGACACGGACTGTTCAATAATGACACACGGACTGTTCAATAATGACACACAGACTGTTCAATAATGACGCACAGACTGTTCAATAATGACACACAGACTGTTCAATAATGACACACGGACTGTTCAATAATGACACGGACTGTTCAATAATGACGCACGGACTGTTCAATAATGACACGGACTGTTCAATAATGACACACGGACTGTTCAATAATGACACGGACTGTTCAATAATGACGCACAGACTGTTCAATAATGACACACAGACTGTTCAATAATGACACGGACTGTTCAATAATGACACACAGACTGTTCAATAATGACTCACAGAC